ACAGCCTCCAAAGCTGTGTCTGAATGGCTATGCGTCTTGATTGTAATATATAATAGAATATCACTCAAACAGTTCCCAACATTGATTTGATCTGTACAGGTAAATGGATGTGAAAAATGAAAATGTACTCAATATTTACTCACCCTCAAGTGTTTTCAAACCTTTATAAGCTTCTTTTTTCTCAATCAGTCACTCGCTCACTTTCTGTTAGCTTATTCTCTGCGTTATCAGTAGTAACAACAGCAGAATGAACCATCAATTACTCTGGCAATTTTTTTACACTGCGCATACCCTTCCAGCCGCAACCCAGCAGGGAGTGCATTTCTAAATGCTGGCAAACAGACACACTCTCCCATTCACACACTACGGCCAATTTAGTTTATCCACTTAACTTATATAGCATGTCTTTGAACTCAGGGGGGAAACCAGAAATCCAGGAGGAAACCCACTCAGACACGATTCTTTCTTTTGTTTAACACAAAAGAAAATATTTTGAGGGAAGCTGAAAACATGTAATCATTGGCTTCCATAATAGGAAAAACAAGGCTGCGTTCGAATACTACATTTGACTTTGAATGTGCTACATGACTGTTAGAAAAGTACGTTCTATACAGTATGATAGTGAGCAGTATGAATGGAACTCGGACGCACTACATCTGCTATTTCTCATCATCAATGGACGTACCTGCGTCAGTTGCGTCAATTCATGTGGCACCATGGGATAGCATAGTGTCATTGGATGTGCACTTCATAATCTTGCCGGAAGTTGTATGTCATCAGGGTACTTCTTGCATACTGTTTATCAAATGCTATGAATTTAGACATACTACTGGGCACGCATACTGTTTTTAGTGTACTATAAAGTATGGGCATATGCGATTTCAGACGCAGCAAAATATTCAATTAATTAATTTTCTTTTTGCTTTAGTCCCTTTTTTAATTTGGGGTTGCAACAGCGGAATGAAACATAAACTTATCCAGCATATCTTTTACGCAGCGGATGCCCTTCCAGTTGAAACCCATCACTGCGAAACACTCATGAATAATCATTCACACACATAGACTACAGACAGTTACCCAATTACTACTACCCTACTACTTACCCAATTCACATGTACCACATGTTTTTTGGACTTGTGGGGGAAACAGGAACACCTGGAGGGAACCGGGAAAACATGCAAACTCCACACAGAAATGCCAACTGACCCAGCCGGGGCTCGAATCAGCGACCTTCTTCCTGTAAGGCGATTGTACTACCCACTTCACCACCGTTCTGCTTTTTTAGTGTTTAATAGAATAAAAGTCATGATGGTTTAAAATAATTTAAGAATGAGCAAATGATGACAGAATTGTGAGTCCAGCAAAGCAACAGATCACACACACCAAGACAGCTCTCAATTTTCTAAATACTAAACTGAAGCTGAAGATAATTCTGCACATTCTTCATGCAGGTTATTCTTCACAAATTTGCACAGTGTTCTCTGTAACTCCCCGTGTAATACCATGGAAATCCAACTCATTTTCCTCCCCTGCCCAAGTCTAATCAGTTTTATTTCAGTGTGCTATTTCATTTCCTTATCTTACCCTTACTCATAATCTGATTCCCCATGTAATGTCTTCAAGAGCATCTTCCTTTGACACATCATTTCCAATATTACGCCACGCATGGTGGCATTTTATCAATGCATTACTCACTTAAAATAAAAAACACACACACCAGAAATAATTATAGCACAGCAGCAGCAAATTCTGAAGAAAAGAAGTCTAAAGTAATGTCACAATCTATTTGCGTAGAGGTGTGTCCATTATAAAAAGCTGTCCATTATCAAGCATCCCAACTATTCCCAAAGCTCCATGAGCACAAACGGGAACTGATCAAATGAAAATGACTCGCATGTTGGAAAAAAATTATATAAGCGTTGACAGAAAGGGCTATTGAGTGTTTCTTGTTCGGCTGTCAGTTGGATGTGAGCTGCCCTGACAGCCGTGATTGTGTCTGACAGAACGTATCAGGTTTCAGAGATTGTTATGCCACCAAATGTGAATTAACATGCTGACACCATCCCGCTCATTAACCCAAACCAGCACCAAGTGTGCTCTGGGGCTTAGACCTTTTGATTTCGCTCTGCCTGGAGACATCACTTAAAATAGGCGATGAATAAACCTGTTCTCACCGTTAAATAAGGCAACCATGGTGTTACGTCTGAAGACACAGATTGACAAAAAATATTGTGCATACATCATCACCCCAGGAGATCCATGCCATAAACAGACTTGGTTATGTGTCAGGGCTACTGTCTGAAAAAGTCCTGGAAGTGACATAATTGAGCAATCGAGCACCTTATGCTGCAGGCTTGTGGCCATTAAGGGCACCCTTTAGTTTTCTATTGAGCCATTGCCATTGTCAAATGACCTATTCTATGGCAGAGCACACATAACTCAGGTACACTCCTGTAATAATAGGAAATCCATACAGGGCCTTTTTTTTCGTATAACGTAATGGTGAGAACAAAAAGGTCATGGGAAAATGCAAACGATATGAGCTGAATCCACAAGACAACAAATGATACATATTCGCTTCTGGTCATACTGCTTTTATGTGTGGAAATTACAGCAAAATAACTTGAGCATGAGGTATGATGATGTTTCTTGAACTGAAATATATAGGTAATCTATAATGTGTGTTGCTCATTAGGTTACAGAGTATCAGATCAGTTTGGCGAGAAAGAAGCAAAATGTTGTAATCTACAATTGCTGGTCACATTAATGTCTTTGATCCTGTTCATATTCAAATAATATACTTTTCTAAATTCATTGTATAATTATGGGTGTATTTTAAAGTCTAAATGAACATTGAAAATGAAAGTGCTGACCAGAGCAAAAGTGCTTGGTGTTATAAGTGGTTCATGTATTAATTAGGGGCTGTTAAGTGATTTTCTTTCTGTAATTAATTACAGTATGCGGACACATACTGTATAATACAAATGAATTTATCCAAACATTCAATTTGACTTAACAATCATCTCCAAAAGAAAATGTATTAGCATTATTGTGTAAAATTAAACCAACACCAGCTGTTGACTTATGATATTGCCTCTATACAACACTTTGAAGGCAAAAGTGTGTAAATTAAAAGAAACAACCACAGTATGTCTTAAAGACCCTTAATTCTACCACAGATTCAAATGTTTTGTAGACAGTTTTAACAGATGAGCAAAAGCCTATGTAGCATCGCATAAAATGTAACAAAGGACTAGTTGCAATATGTAGAGTACTGTATATTCCTACAGTACTCTACAGCTACGTGTGTATTAAAGGGTCACGAAACACCAAAACACATTTTTGAGATGTTGGCAGTTATACATGTCTCCCACGTTGCTAAAAACGGTATTTGGACACAGATTTCACTTAAGTGAAAATTGTTTGTTTTTGCGTTATTTTAAGCAAATTCATTCTTCCGGTTTGAAAAAAAAAAATGTTGAAGCTGCATCACAGCGATGAGATCACTGTGCCTGTACAATGTAACGTCATTGAGTTTTCAGCATTAATTCATGAGAATGACTTCCAGACCGAAAAATCAGACCGTCTATTGTGAAGGAGGTGCAACTTCATTAATATGCATGATATAGCTTTAAAACTGTTTTTACCTGATACAGTGTTCAGACAGCAGAAAGACACCACATTATGTTGCCCACCGTAATTAAAACAAGTGAAAGAAGAATTGTTGAGTTTATAGATGTGCCGCAATGAAGGTTTTGTTTCCAATTTGATTTCCACGATGAGAGCACTGATTGCATGTGGACCTACATGTGTGGTTTAAAGTGGTCTGCTAACAAGCAACAAAAATGTGCTTATAAGGATCATTTTTTGAGCTTTTTGAATCTGGAAATGGTAAAATCCGGATTTGTCACTCAAATTCTTTTAAAAAAGGACGAGGTTCCAGTTGGAAATCAGTTGACTGTCCTGTCTCTACGGATTTGGTAAGTGTGTGATCAGTGATCTTGTTTATGTTTATTTAGATGACAAAGTTAGTTAGTGTCGTCAGCAGTACTCTTTTAGTTTTTAAAGACATACCTTAGTCAAAATTATTTAGTTACTAAGTGCGTTAATATCACGACAATATTTTGGACTGAAAGATCCACTATAAATGCTGCTCTCCGAATGTAAACATGTAAACCCCCTAATCAAACCAAAGCCAAATGTAACTGAATGAAAGTGAAAGTGCCAAACTGCAGTTCAAGTTCATGGCTTTTAAGTCAAGCGTATCTTAAAACCAATAATCTCATCTCAATAAAGCATTAGTTTGAATGTCCACTAAGAAAAGCTATGTAAGTTTTCAACAGTTACAGTGCTTTCCAATGACAATACTTGTTGCGCCTTTTCAATATAAAAATCTCTAGAACTGACTCACACATCAGAATGCAAAATTATCAAAAAATAAATAAACTAACAAGTGCTGCACTCATAAATAATATGCCAGTTCAAAGTTTAAACAACTACATTCTCACCTAAAGAGTCTGTAAAAATACACTGGTGATGCAACAACAACAACAACAGTACTTGTTTAAATATAGTGAATTAACTCTTCTGCCATGGCACTCGCAGTGAGGAACGCTAAACGTGGGGTGACACAAATAGAATGACCTCTCAGCCAATCAGATTCTAGAACCAGAATGAACTGTTGTATATTTACATTTCACTGCTACTTGTTTAATAAGCTAAATATATCATACAAACTGAAATACTGCTTTAATCCTTTTTTCATTCATCCATATAACCAGCTTTGACACAATCTACACTGTATAAAGCACAATAGAAATAAAGGTGTTTAAATATTATTGGGTTTCCCCAATTGGCGGGCAATATTGCCCCTAAAACTGATTTTTGTTACCCTTACATCAGGAGTACTGCAGCAGAACCCCATCAAAACAATTTCAGTTATTGGGAAGACAGTTATTCTATCCATTATCTGATTATTTGAGGTTGTGATGTTTTGACAGCTGGCGGGCATATGTGTGGCTACCGTAGGGATATGGGCGACTGTGTATGAAAACTCCTTTATGAACATTTTACCACCCTTTAATGACAAGATCTGGAGTCACGTCAATGTGGGAATCTTCTGCATCTGTATTGGCGCAGTCATGACATGGCTTGGTATGATTGGATGTTGTGGAGCTCAAAAAGAGAGCAAATGCCTTCTTATAATGGTAAGAGCACTCCTTTAATTAAAGGGATAGTTTACCCCAAAAAAAAAAAAAAATAATAATAATCAAGTCCTTTCGAAGTGTTTTTCTGTTAAAGGGCACCTATAATAAAAATCTTATTTTGGAAGCTGTTGGACAGAAATGTGTGTAGGTATAGTGTTTCCACAATCATTGGAGGGATTTTTTTAAATTTAATGAGGTTAAAATAAAATCTAAATTCCTCCCATTTTGAGGCCCACTGTAACATGATGTAGGAGTGCGGTTTCCCTGCCCACCGAATTGATTGACAGCCACATAACAACATATCTACGTAGTAACACGTATAATCATATCAACAAGACAGGACGTGCGCAAAGCAACTGTAAAAAAAGATCTGTTCAGCTCTCTGTGATCATCAATAATGAGTTTTACAAGTTTAAAATGTTATAAAACAGTGCATGTTTGCAATGAATTACAGCAATTTTACCATCTTTATTACCACAGCCGCATGTCAGTACAATTATAATAGAATACGATTCAATCCAAGTATGTGGACGCTTAAATTAGGTTTAATTAGGTGCAAAGTTAAATGTACACGTTGTATGTGTGTGTGTGTGTGTATGTGTGTGTGTGTCCAGGAATTTTTTAACGACATTGTGTGTGACTTATCAAAAATTTTAAATTTACTCCACAACAAATACATAAAATAATCATTAGGATTCTGACTGTTGTATTTCTCACAAACTTTACGTGAGATACACTTCCTTCATGTCTGTCACTGTGCTTTTTATCTGATGGTAATAGAGACACACTGACAGGCATAAAGGAACGGTTGACAGGGACCTCTAGCATTAAAGACACAGGCAACAAAAACAGATACAATGTGTTCAGAGCAGTAAATTTCAATGTTCTGAAACATGTAATAAATAATTGGTGTACTAAAATTTGAGCTGAAACTTAACAGACACATTCTGAAGACACAAAACACTTATCTTAAATCTTAAAAAAGGGGTCAAATAGGTGCCCTTTAAACAAAAATAAGATATTTTGAAATTGATAGTAGCTACTGATATCCATAGAAAGAAAAATATCACTTTTTGGTGAACCATCTCTTAAACTTACAAGTCAGAATTATTATCCCTCCTGGAAGTTTTCAAATATTTTCCAAATTATTTTTAACAGGGCAGGAAATTTTTTTAGAGTATTTCAGTTTTTTTTTTCTTCTGGAGAAAGTCTTATTTGTTTTTCTTTCAGTTGGAAGCCATTGTAAGGTCAATATTGTTATTCACCCTTTAGCAAATGTTTTCTTCAATTGTCTACAGAACAAACAATTGCTATAATACGACTTGCTTAATAACCTTAATTTGCCTATTAATCTGGTTAAGCTTTTAAACTGCACTTTAAGCTGAATAGTGGCATCTTGACATAAATCTAGTAAAATATTATGTTCTGTGATCATGATTTTTATAAAAGTCAATTATTAGAAATTTGTTAAAAACTACATGAGTTTAGAAATGTGTGGAACAAATCTTTCTGTTAAACAGAAATTTAGAAAAGAACATACATGGGGCTAGTAATCCAGGTGGGCTAGTAATTCTGACTTCAACTGTATATCAAATTCCATATAAAAAATAATGTTGTAAAGTTTTCTATGTAAGTTCACTCTCTTTGTTTCTATACATCAGTTCTTCTCCATCGTCCTGATCATTTGCATTGCTGAGGTGGCAGCTGCAGTAGTAACCCTGGTCTACTCCTCATACGTGAGTCTTGATCCAAACCACTGACCTCTCTGCCAATCCTCCCCATCCCCCAATACTCTTTGTCTATTTTTTCCTTTTTGCTGCATGTAAATTCCCATCATACTCTGGCCATCATTAAATTAGGGGGTTTGAAATGGCTCCAGCACATTCAGCCACTTAATAACTCCCAGATTGCCTCAGGCGCTATGCCAGCACTCTCACTTTGAGCAATTTATTGCACTACAATATTGACGTTTAGGCATTTTATATGCAAAACAGGCGATTTACATACAGAGCTTCACCCATTTAGTGAAATGTATAATAATTACAACAACTTTGAATGAGTTATGGAGGGTTTGTTAAGAGAATAATGCCATTTAATTAAAGAACACAAAGGCCTTTTAGGGCAAATTAAAAAAATTGAATTCCATTTAACAGACAGCAATCTCATTTAAAGCATATAAATATATAAACTTAGGGAGAAAAGGAATGTTTATATTGTACTGTATACAGACTTAACAGTATACATAAATTAAAATCTGAAAGAAAGAAAGAAAGAAAGAAAGAAAGAAAGAAGAGTTTTCTAATATGTCAAATAATAATCAGAAATAATAATTACATGTTTTTAATTTAAATAAAGTTATGCATTATTTTCCTTAATTCTTAAATATGTTCATAATAGCATTTCTTAATTTCTTTAACTTCATTATTTATTACCAATAATTAATTAAGCAATTTAATGGTGTGAACCAAGTTAATTCAAGGTCGGATATTCTTGCTTTAATTATAGTTAACTGAAACCATAAAACCATAGTCATTTACATGTTAAATGAGTTTTTTTTTTTTTTTACGACTTCAGATATACAGCTTATTTATAAAGATATGTCCTGCTTGAAAAAAAAAAGCCCATTTGAAAAATGACGAAGTTATATAGAATTACATTTGTGAGAATAAACGCGTGTAAAACAGAAAATAATAACATAACAAAGCTAATCTTTACTTGAAGTATATATATATATATATATATATATATATATATATATATATATATATATATATATATATATATATATATATATATATATATATATTAGTGCTGTCAAAATTGGTGTGTTAACGCATGCGATTAATTTAAAATAATTAACCCGTTAAAATAATTAACACAATTAACGAAGTTGCTGGTTTCTTTATTTCCTGTTGTGGCCGACGTGTGTTCAACATGCAAAGAAATATGGATAAGGCCAAGGAAGCGCTTTTTGAAGGCAAGTTTCAGTATAAAACAATTAATGTCGCATCACCAGGCTCTCCAGAGTTTCATGCAATTTGGGGTGTAATTTTTAACTTTCGACTTTAACTTTAACTATTTTAATGGAATTTGATACCGCATGGCAAAAGGAAAGAAAAAAACTCAGCATTTTGTTACTCTGTGGTCCTTTAAGATAATCAAAAATCGCTGCTTACATGGTAGACTCTTAATAAGAGTTTTATCTTAATGATATTAAAAATCGAAGTATTGGTGTCCATGTAAGAGTAAAATGAAGTAGCGAGCTGTCAGATGAGCCCTCAAATGTGTCATTAAGTTTGAAGTGTTTCCTCTTTAAACGCAACGAAAGCGTATGCTTCGCGTTGTTGTGTCAGAATCCTTGTGAAATACAGCCATACTTTAGAATGCTTAGTTTAAGCAAATTTGATGAACGCAATCATGCGTGCTGAATCTGAAGGGAGTCGCTCCGGATAGTTTTTGTCTTGTGTTTACATTAATTTTCCATTTGAATAGCCAAAATTACAAGTTTCAGTCCTTTAAATGCGATTAATCGCGATAAATTTTCAAAAAATAGTGTGATTAATTAGTTAATTTTTTAAATAGATTGACAGCACTAATATATATATATATATATATATATATATATATATATATATATATATATATATATATATATATGCAATATCACATGAGTAGCAGTGTGATATGGCAGCCATACCGCACTGTTACAAGTGTGAAAATGCATTTATACAGTTCGATGGCATAATCATGTATATAAAAAAGAAAATCAAACACGGAGAGTCCAAATATTCTTTTTTATGAGAAACTACTTTCTTCTGCCATTCATTCACATCTGCAGCTGACAACAGAAACTGTTGCTAATTTAACCAACATCACTTTAGAGCTAGTATTTGAATAATTCTCTAGCTAAATGTCTAAAGTGATGACAAAACAGGTGATTTTGCTCAAGTTAAGGCTGAAAAGCATGAAATGCCAATCAGTCAAGAGACATTTAGTATTTCTCTGTTGCAATTAAAATATCACAATAATTAACCCCAAACAGGGTAGAGCAAAGCAAACACTACAAGACGTCTATGGTATAAATACAGCAATACAAAATACAAAAGAGAGAGAATGACTTAGAAAGTCACTTACCCATTTTAGAATGATTTGATCAGCTATAGTTTGAAATGACACTTTTTATAGTTTTTCTCCTCTAAGGGCTTAATATGCGGTCTCAGTCACAATCTTGTGGCAGAACGTCAACCATCTTTACTCTGCTCAGAATGACAGGCTGATGGATGCCAAAGCGCTGTATCTCTGAATTCACAAATATTTGAAATAGCCACTATCCTTATAAATAAACTGCATAGATGCAATCTAAACAACTACATTCTCGACTGAAAAAGCCTCTAAAATATATTATGTTGTCCAACAGCTGCAATAGTTGTCAAACTGTAGTGAGTTTACAGTTGTCACTCTATGTGGAAGGAGTAATACAGAAAGGTGAGGAGGATGAACGAATGCTGTCATTGCAGACTATCACACAGCTATCAGCCAATCAGATTCGAGAACCAGACAGAATTGTTATACATTTATATAACTTTTAAACATTAATTTTGAGGGTGTTTATTTTATAACCAGCACATTTTTAGAGCTCTTATTACATAAATATGAACAGACATATTTTTTTTAAATTCTAATTTAAAGCTTGCAATTCTATAATCGATTTTTATTAATAAGCAAATGCAAACCTTTTTCTAATTAATCTATGAAAATTGGCAAGCATATCTATACTAAAAAAAAATAAAAAACACAAAAAATGTTGCTTATTTCTCTGTTTATAGCACGTTGCCATGCTCCTCTTCAAAGCAAACTACAAGCCATTTGATTGTATAACAAAAGTCTAGTATCACAAACAGCAGACTTTATTTTTGTTGAATTTAATGTTCATCTGTAATATGCACCGGTTCCGTGAGGGTTAAACTTCATAAAACTAAAATGGTTACTTCATGTTAAAAAAAACTGAAATAATAGGTGTTGCTCAGATTTACTCATTATTACAGTACACTATTAAACTATTCATCAGATACTTGTAATGATAAAAAAGATGCCTAAACAGATGCCCTTTCACTCATGCATATGGACCACACTGTAGGCTATAACTGTGACATTTGGTAATTGTGGTTCCACTCCACTGGGACTGAAAATGGTCTTCTAGGTATTTACGCAAGCGTAGAATCAGTTTGTTCATGAAACATCATTTATACAGCTATCTGAATGAAACGTGGTACTTCATCAACAAGCCCGAGCGCTTAATGCTACTGGGGAGTCACCAGAAAAGAAGAGTGCAGGACATTCCTGTGAATTATAGATGGACTAAATCGTTCGGAGGAACATTAAGCATGCAAATACCCATTTAATGTTCTGTTTGTCACCATCACACTTTTATCCATTCATTTATTTATTATCCTGACAGAAGAAATTGGCGCTTTAATAATTCATGCGCAAGTCTATGAGCAGCTGCGCCATTGTGGTTTCGATAAGAAATAGGCCTCACAAAGTCATAACAATCACACAATATGAATTTGAATACCATTACATGTTTGCATTAATATGTAAAATTGTTACGGAATAAGCCAAGTCGTGGTAGAGATTGCACTTTTAATGTTTAGTTGGTCACAGCTGTTTACTGTGTGATCCAAAACGTAATCACCCCCATTTCAATAACGTTCCACTGATGCGGTGTCGTTTGGCAATACCATTTTCACTGTTTAAATTAAAGATCGCTATTATGATAAAAAGAAGTGCATTAAATTTACGTTCTTATTTTCAGCTGATGTTATAAATGACATTCGGCGCCAAACACACCGGTCTCAGATCAGCAATTAGCAATCGCTCGGTTGCCTTCCAGCGCTTTGTCCTGTCTAGATTGTGAGGGAATTCCTCCAGACATTGATGGATTAGCTTGTGTGTAATAACTGTACTGATCTGTGCCGCTTCCAGTGCTTCATAGGCAGGAGGGGGAGCTGTTTTAATTGTGTTTTGTCTGCGCATCCCCGCAGGCCTGCTGTGCTGAAGACCAGTCTCGATGACCCCTCCTTTACTGGCAAACACATGCACACGTGTAACACTTAGCAACCGAGTCCTTGTGTGACTGAAACTCATCTTGGGTTTATTAATCAAATTCCAACTAATAAGACAGATGGGGAAATGTATGAGAAGGAAGAAAAGAATGGCGCACAATTCATATGGAACAATGTTCTTTAGATGCAGCCTAATTTAGTTTAATAGTAATTTGGACATCATCTTAAACTTGGAAAGTTGTTTTTACCACTGATTGGCATTTCATAGCAGTGAAAGTTCATTCAAAGGGGACTTTTAACGCAAAAATTGCTTTTATAAGGGGTTTAAACAGTTGTGTGGGAACAGTCTGTGAATATAAGCAGCTTCAAATGGTATAATTTTATTAATTTTATTTTTTATTATCACACATAATAAAAACAGAGACACTTTGATTGACATTCTCCCTTTGTATGTCATCAGAGCGGGAAAGCCCCGCTCATTAGTGCTGATCTCTCCCTCATTTGTATAAGTCTTGTTTTTAAATCTGCTACTATGCTGACATACAGGCATTTGTAACTCCACCCTCTTTTAAAATGAGGGCTGGGAGCACAATCTCATTTGAATTCAAAGCTTCAATCACCAAAGTGGCACAATTACGATTAAAGCCTAAAAAGGGCAGTTTCAAAGAGTTATAAAAAAAAATTCCTGGGGTATTTTGAGCTGAAACTTCACAAAAACAATCTAGGGACATCAGAGAATTATTTTACATCTTGCAAAAAGGAGCGTAATAAATAAGGTTTAATTTTACATTAAGGTTACATTAATGTTAATTACTAGTACAAACAATGAATAACACATTGAAGTAATTATTAATCTTGGTTAATGTTAATGAAAATAAAGTTGTGCATTGTTAACTCACACTTTAACTAATGTTACAAGCACAACTTTGGTTTAGTATAATAATATAAATATGGAAGTGTTATTTATGTAAGGGATAATCAATGGCTTGTCGTGCGTTAAAAGAATTTTAAAGTACAATGTTGAGGCGAAGGACCATATGACCTTGATTATCCTGATTTTTCCATGGTCATTTGTCAAAGTAGGCCTAAGTTTAAACTAGTTTTGCTCTTTGCAGCACAATATTTGTTTGTATTTTTGTCAGCTTTGACATGTTAGATTTGCTAGTCCCTCCACTGAATCAGCAGTGACAGGGAGGCAGAAAGACAGAGAGAACATGTGCACGCTGTTTATACCTGCTAACATAATTAAGATGCAATTTCATTAATCTGATCACAGGTGGACAAATAAGACATTCTCAGTCCCACCTGGAATGTGTTTCCATTCACATTACATATCAGTGTAATATAACATTATTTACAGTCATAAATTATGAAACTTATCTTAAGATCTGCCAAAAAGAAATACACCTCAGAACAAATAATATGTTCAAAAGTCCAAATACTGACCATAAGATACACCAAAGATTAATTATATATAAAATTTTAACAACAAAGATGCAAGAGATGAGATCCAGCAGCAGGTCCTGAGCTAGTTTTGCCCAATATAAAGTTTCTCTTGATGAGAAGCTGTTTGTAGAGCTGTCACTGACCGCCTGGATCTTCTGAAACCTTTAAAGACGTGCTATAGCCTTACACATAAGCTGCCTTGAAACAAACAAATTTGACTTAAAAAAAACTATATTCTTGCTTTAAAAATTCTTAATCTTAGTTGCTTTTGTAACTACAAACATTGGGGAGAAGCACATTTATTTCGAACTGTGATTTCAAAACTGACTGAAATTACCAGTGCATTTCAACGAAAATAACACACTCTCCAGCCAATTAGAATCAAGAATTTGAAAAGACCATGGAATAAAATGCATTAATAAATGTTGAACTATGATTAATAAATGATTTATAACTAGGCTGTTATAACTAACATTAACCAATGTAAGCTTACTTTAAAATCTGACTATACACTTGATTTTGAAAAACGCATGATTTGTTTAAACTTCCTAAATGTAAACCCAAAAAGTAAATTATTGTTTATATAAATGAATAAATAAATAAATAAAAAAGAGCTAGTGTTAATTTGTTAATAAAACAACATTATTAAAATAAAATATGCCAATCAAGTGCATAGAATTGGTTATTAAAAACAGAGCTGTAATTGTTTATGCTAGCTCAAGAACATTAGAAAAATATATATTACTGAACAAAACTTTTTACTATTTTATTTATGCTTTAGATGTATTGCCCATTGTTAGTTCATGTTAACTAACTAAATTAACTAACATATGAACTTGTCAATGCAACATTGACTAGCCTATAATTTCCATTCACTTTCTAAAATATTCTAAAATATTTCATTATAAAAAATCATCCAAATTTTTCATAACCAAGTATCAGTTTGTGTGAAAACATTCTTGACTAGTAGAAAAGAAAACACTGTGGAACAATACATGTATTGCCTACAGCCTTATTTGTTTCATTAAGCCATGATAAATGTCATTGCTAGCGGCATTGTGGAGACAATGGTGAAATAAGTTTTCTGATTTCGTGCCTACAATTCAGAATTTGATTCCAGTTCATTTTGATGGCCCTTTTGGATGTAAATGTGTAACTAAACGTCAACAAGCTCTCAAATTAATATTAGTGGACTCCCTGGTACATCTGATATTAAGATGTACTTTGGTTAGTTGAATAGAAAGCAAATATGGGAGACATTCCCCTAATACCTTGTCTTTAAATTTAGTTTTAGCCACTTCGAAAAATTTCTTTAAAAGTTTAAGGAGTTTCGTATGCATATTCTCTGATCTTTCTCTTCAATGTTGCTAAAAAGCGAGTGCAAATTACATGAGTGTTTAACATTTGTGGTTACTTCTTAACACTAGATGTAAACATGGACTTAGATTACAAATAAGGTATGAATAAAAGGTATAGAAAAAATATATGCATTACAAAATTTTTTTTTAATCAACTCAACAGTTTCAAGTTAAATTATATGTTTTTTTAAGTCAATTATTTTTTAAGTAATTACTTTTTAGTAAAGACAAACTTTTAACAAATATTAAAGAGAAAACCATATTTTTACTCTGCTGTTGAAACCAAAAAAGCAAATGTTTTAAAGAATGTTGGTAACCAGACAGTTGATAAAAACAGAGGGTTTTCCAGGTAATGATTCCTCAAATCTGAAAGACTGCTAATAACTAATGACTGCAAGTTGACATTCCGCACAGTAGTTGCTTAAAAACAAAGGTATGTCTAAATATTTGCAAGTTTCTTTCCGAATCTTTTTGTTTTCTTGTTTGTCTTTGTGATTTTGTAAGGCTGAGATCTTTCTAAGATTGTGGGCCATACCTGGACTGAAGGAGCAGTATGGCAAAAATCAAATCTTCACAAACTTGTGGAATTCAACCATGACCACAGTAAGCCACGGTCAACCAAATGCATTCACTACAATTGATCTGTGCCTCAGGCTTTTCAGTGGTCAAATAATCTTAATCCATCATGTCAAATTCCCAGGTCAAAAATGCCCTTAACAGCAGTTAAAGAGGGGGCTGACTCTAAATGTGAAAATTAGCTTACTAAACAGACTACCTAGAATTTGACAGCCTAATGAAAACTTTGCAGATCAATACGAACATGTATAACATTGAGAACACGTGTAAATGTGTTACACCAACAGTCCTTCCATATTTGTGGATATATATTTGTATTTTGTATACACATTATGTGTGTTGTTTACTGAGCATATTTAGTATATAGACACACAATAACATTACATTTATTACAGTATTTATTCAAGTAATGTTAGTAAATTCTGTGCAATAATGTTAACAAGTTAACAAACACACATATATGTATATATATGTATATATATATATATATATATATATATATGTGTGTATGTATGTATGTATGTATGTATGTATGTATGAATATATATATATATATATATATATATACACACACATAATAAATAAACAGCACAAACACACATATATTATGTAAAAATTATCTTTTTTTTTGGAAGCGACTAACCCAGCACTAATATATATTGTTCTTACCTTTTCATTGTGTGTAAACAGTTGCAATGCTGTGGCTTTAACAACTACACCGACTTCTCTGGATCCTATTACTATATGCAGAATGGAGAACTTTACCCTCCTGCTTGTTGTTTAGGTCTTGAGCTCTTCCCCTGTGATGAGGACAATGCAGATTACAGCAGAGTTATGGTGAGAAACATATAAAGACTGTTCAAAATTGTAGAAAATAGTTGTAAAACTGGAAAAGATAGCAAAGATTTGGGCATGTTTAGCTGTTAGGTAGCTGCTGTATATGATTTACTACATGTGCATATATGACTGGAATCAAGGAATTGTGTCATAAAATTAAATTTATATAAAAGAGAATTGGAAACATTTTGCATAAATAAATCAAAAGTGCTGTTCACCTAATCACATTTTGGACTGTGACTGTCTGTGAATATTAAACAGTAAAAAATATTATTTAAATAGAGCTCTGGAAAAAAAAATAATGCTTAAAATTATGATATTCTTATTTTGAACTTTTAAAGCTAATAAATAAAATAAATAGTGCTTTTGCAACACATCAGCTTCATCTCTTCTGAAAATGACTTACTAAATGTATTTTGCTGTTTTATATGTGTGAAAATCTATCATCACATCATGTATACACAAACACAAGCATCTTTTCAACATGTAAACCTGCTTTTCAACCTATGAACCTGCTGTAGAAACATAGTGTATACAACAAAATCAGCTACAGATAAATTCGGTGAACATGGACTCAGGCATATGTATGTTTCGGAGTCATTCTTAAAGCTGTTGACATATTGAGGAAATATATAAAGATAGAGAGATAAAAAGGACAATATGGAGACAACTCAAAACTATACATACCTATTACATTTTGTTTGTTTGTTTTTTTTTTCATTTGAAATTTTTGTAATGTTTAAAACATTACTTTATCTTAAAAACATAATTATGAGATGTGAACCCCTAGCAAATTCAGACTTAAAGTTTTTGTTCAAACGTAAATAGAAGCTAACATTTTTTTTTTTTTTTTTTTTGCACAATGATGCCTCTTGTACATCATCTCTTTTTCTTTTGGAAGTAGTCTGTGACATTTTTGGTCAAAAATACTTGCTGGTTAAATAAAGTAACTTTAAGTCAGAATTTGCCAGGGGTATAAATAATTTTGGCCTTGTCTGTTTATTATATTATATTATATTATATTATATTATATTATATTATATTATATTATATTATATTATATTATATTATATTATATTATATTATATTATATAGATTTTTAGATGTTTAATGTTTCATAATTCAAAATGATCTCAATGTAAGCATGATGATGATGACTTAATCATTCTGAAAGCATGTGAAAGGAAAACAGCTTCTGGACACAATTGTTTTGGTGCCAGTCGACTGAGCCATACTGACATGTGATTAATGTTGCATTCAAGTGCACCTGAAAAAATCATACCTCCAAGTCAGGAATTTGTTATTATGACACGTCATGTGTTACAGCTGAATAACAACTGTATTTGAAATGCAGCTTGCAAAAAAAAAAAAAAAAACATATACAACTAGTATACTATTAGAAAATGATGATGTCACGACAGCACCATAACTATAGTGCCCACCGGGCTTACCATTCGTTCTATATAAATTACTAGACAAAAACACCATCTAATTCATATTCATGAGCCAAGCTGATAAGGTATATAGATGTGACCCCCCGTCACATTTCTGATGGTCCCCACGCCCATGTGTATTACAGCAGTGCAGTATGTGATTTTGGCCCTTTCGCCTGATATTGGTTTTCTTCCCAGGGCTGCTTTAAACGAATTGTTAAGAACACCAAAATGAATGTCAACATTGTAGGAGGAATAGCTGCTGGAGTCACTGCCATTGAGGTAAACATAATGCATCCATCATGCTGTTACAATAACGAATACATTGGGTATATAAAATTGAACAGCTCTCAGGATTTGACTGTTGCCTTCATCATGACTGGGTAGCACAAGTTTGGGAAGCACGACAATTTAGCAATTTGCATGTCCAGCACAAACTATGCACGTCAATGTGTATATATATATATATGTGTGTGTGTGTGTGTGTGTGTGTGTGTGTGTGTGTGTGTGTGTGTGTGTGTAATTAAGCAGTTTTTCTTATTTTGTGATTTATTTATGCTTTTGAATTGCATTATAGAACCTTGATCTTTCTCCCAACAAACTTTAACCTTTTAAAGCTCAAAAAAGTGACTTTTATTTCTCTATTTAAATTTTTTATACATTATATAATTTCCAACAACTAAAATGTCAATAAAAGTCATTTTGTTACATTGTAGAGTTGAATTAAAATTAACATTAAAAGTCAACAGAGCAGAGATCAAGGTCCCATAATGCTATTCAGAACCATAAACCAACACTTATAAATAAAAAAAATATGGAAACTGTTATTTAACAGATCTTTTTTTACAGTGTACCTTCAAATGATTCAATTAAATTACCATGCCAAGGTTTGATGCAAGGACCAAAGTTCCTTTAAATGACAAGCAGCAAAGATGATTGGCACTCAATATATTTTTTTAATAATAAAACAGGAGAAAAAAAAATGTATTGGCCATGAGCCTTCACCTGTGTCATGATTCATTATCTCTTTATGATTATATACTCAGTCATTTCAGGTCTTCACAATCAGTTGAGTCACAGATATAATTTAAGTCACATTGGGTTCACATCTTAAGAATTAGAATGCAAAAGTCATGTATCAGGAAGTAGAAAAAAAAATAAAAATCCCAACAATCTAAGTTGCAATGCATCAGACCAATATTATACTATGTTGTACATCTGGTCTTGAATAAAATAAAAAAAAAATTAAAAAAAATAATAATAATAATAAAATAGATTAATCATTAATTCATTTATTTCTCATTTTAATTATCTTTAAACAATGTGTACAATGTAGTACACTACTTTCAAATAATAATGTGTTTTGTTTTCTAGTTGGCTGCGATGGGAGTGGCTATGTATCTCTATTGCTACCTGGACAAAAAAGAAACCTGAAAGTCTTACTAGAATTATGAATGCATTTTTTTTGTTTATGATTCAAAGTAGGGAAGCGATACTGTAGATGTTATGAAATTAATTGTTGATTAGATGAAAAGATTTAATTTGTACGATTTTAACAAGGCAAAGTGGATGATAAAATTGTTATTTGATTTTGAAAAGGAATGTGATGTAAAAAAAAAAAATAATTATTTTCTTTCTGTGTATGCAATGCAATGCCTCAATTCTTTTTATAACCATAAATCCAGTTCATTTGCATTGAAATACAATAATTGTTTTGCACTGAAACGCTTCATCCCACACAAGCTGTTCTAATACATGAAAAATTCGTTTAGGGAGCAGAAAAAAAGTGTTGGCTTAGATTATGTCATAAATAATGCATAAATAACTTTGCACCATACAAAAATATAGCTACTTTCAGTATGTTATATTTGGTGAATGAGAGAGGTTGATCATTTGCTTTTTTTGGTATGTACAGTAAATAAAATGCAACATGATGTGAAGTCAATCCAGTTTCTCCTTGTAATGACTTTGACAGTGTAGATCAAAATAAATGAATGAAGAGGTGGAAATAATATTCATGCACAAACATTGTAACTCACTCTACTAAAACACTCTCTCTGGTGGTCTGCATCATTATGAAATTCCCACTACAACTCCAGCACACACAGTCAAATCACATTTACACAGGGCTTAAACCACACTAAATTTGCATTGATTTCAATATTCACACAATTTCCTTTGCGGCTTCTTCAGGTTTCCACATAGTTTGCCTGCCCTGTTGTCTACTTATCTAAAAGAAAATTATTATGTTTATAACATTAGATATCATTCTATTGAGAAAAACGAAAACTAGGGCTAAATGATCATTTTAGCACTGAAATCACAATTGTACACATTTACAATAGTCACATTGCAGGATGTGCAATATTGAGTTTATATGGTGGGATTACAATTTACCAGAAGCTACAGTTCAGAAAACAGAGCATTTTTGGATTCACTGAAATGTTTAACCATAATGGAGTGAAAGTTGATGATTTGCATGTGTTTTTAAGGCCAGTGACTGTGTAAGCATTCAGGCACATGAAACTGTACTGTTTGTAACTCTAATAAAGATACATTTAATTAATTATTTATACAAAGAAGGCTATATCGTGTCATTTCACATTAGATTATTTAATTTCTGTACCTGAATACGGTGAAGGAAAATATTTCACTTCTATCTTCCCAATAACAATCCAAAATAATCCCCATATTCTAACAAAATAATTCAAATCAGTTTAAAACTAATTCTTTCCAAATTGAGCTATAGCAAAGAATCTGGTGACATTGTATTCATATTGCAATATAAATCAAAAGAAAACAAAATTTCAATATCATGCAGACCTACGCATATATAAAAATATACTGTACATAACACTAGCTAATTTTAACCTTTTAAATATTGTTAATATTTTAAAAGAATAATAAGTGAAGTTTATTCATAAACTAATTTCGAGAGGATCACGTGCTTATGATTTATCACGTCCAGTCTCGCATTTGCTAATCACTAATCTTCCAATCATATGAGCCCTAAGGCACCATAAATAGTCTAAGTTTTCAGTTCACTTTATCTTCGTTTGGAAGAAGCAGCTTCACCGTAGCTAGCTCCGTTGAAGAACCAACTCTAAACCAGCATGGACAACTAAAGCAGCAACAAGCTACAATCTTCAGGATCTTCATTTGGAAGAACGCTCTGCTCTGCTCATCAACTACAAAAGCTACAAGTGCTACAAGCTACAAAAGCTTCAAGCTACAATCTACAATATACAATCTAAAAGCTTCAATCTACAAGCTACAATATACAAGCTACAGCAACAACAACAACAACTACTATTGCTACCATTTCAAACAACTACAACTCCAACAATTTCATCAACAGCTTAAACAACAACACCAAAACCTTCCACTTCAAAGAGCCTCTACAACGCATCTGCTGTGTCTTCAACCTTATTTCCCAGCAAGATATAAGCCAAACTCCAAAGCTATTGCAATAAAACGGAACCCTCACCTTCTCCTAGCAGTACACATGCTATCCATCGTTTAACAGATTGTTTGCTGGAATGTGTTCAGCAGAGCAGCAGCTCCAGCCACAAACAATGTTGAATTTGATCAACAAAATGGCCGCCAGGCTTTTTGCACCTTTTGCATGGCCTGACTGAAACTCCTTAAGCCAATAGCTGTAAAGATAAGCGTCTCCATCCAATGAGCTAAAAGACTGGAGATGGTCCCGCCCTCTCTCTTGACTCTGTTGCAAAGACCTTATGAATGAATAGGCCAGACACGCTTGTAAATTTAGTTAAAAAAAAAAAAAAAAAAAAAAAAAAAAAAATAAATAAATAAATAAAAAAAATAAAATAAAATTCCATTTGACATTTAACTTCTGAAAAGATTATTACCCAACCAGTAAATATTAACAAGCTATTGAAAAACATTATGCCATCAAGCACAGAAGTCCAATTGTAATACGCCAGCGACTCATGTGTTGATTTACAAGCGTCATATAAGATTATATAGCAAGTCAGTGGGATGTGAAAACGGCAAAGAAACAAACTTCCCACTTGACTGTTATAAATACAAATTTAAACTTCACTATCACTTCACATGCTCAGTCTTCAAGGGGTACCAGTTTTCCAGGACCACCAGACTAGCCATATCCCATGTCCTCAGCTCTCCATTCATCTGTCATCTCGTTAGGAGACGAACACCCACCCCTACCATCCTTGCACATCGTATCAATGAAGTCATCGGACCATGCATTATCAAAAGCGCTTCCATTTACAGCCGCCCATGCCCTTATTAAGATGCCTCGCATGGATATAAACTAAAACAATTTTCATGTCTGCCATACTTGTATTATTTTGCAAAGATTTAATTTCTGATTCTCTTTGTTTTTTCTATTTTAGAGATCATGACTGCTGGCTCCAGAAGCTGACCCTCATCCAACCTATTACACTCCACATCCTCTTCACAAAGGATACATTCCATTTTTCACTCTATCCAATCTGTCCTAACCTGCAGTCTGCAACCTCCGAACCTGAAACCGTCGATTATCTTATTAAAAAGAAATCGACAACAACTTCATGATTGGAACTCCAAGGCTCCTCCTTTTAATATCTCGCGCATTAGCCCCATTGGTGTCGCTACTCAAAATGTTCTGGCAAAAACGCCTTGTAGTCGACCTTTCGTCCCAACACAATTGCTCCTTTCCTAGCATTAACAGCACTATCCCATTGGACGAATATTTACTTAACTACCACGACATTGATCAAGAGATCTCTCTCATAAAGATAGCCAGTCGTAACACCTGGCTAGCCAAAGAAGACATTTCCCCTACCTTTAAAATCATGCCAATCCACCCAGACTTCTGGCACCTTTTGGCATTTATTGGCGAAATCAATTCTATTTTTCGGATGCAAAAGCAGCCCAAAAAATATTTGACATAATGTCAGAAGCTTTATGCTGGATTCTGTCTAATATTTACGAAATACCATACCTCATTCACCTTCTAGACGATTTTCTTATTTCCCCCCCCGTCATCTCCTCCAGCCAAACACCTAGCGATCACCCAGCAGGTTTTCGCTGATCTCGGAAGGACCCAGTACTTCAATCGTATTTCTGGGTATTAATCTAGACTCGCATAAATTCCAAGCATCCCTTCCTAAAGAGAAAATCAATCGAATAATTTCTCTATCCCAAATTTTCCTTGAAAAACAGATGTGCACACAACGAGAACTCCTACCAATTCTCGGCCATCTAAATTTCGCTATGCGCATTATTCCTTTCATTTCCCACCTCCATCAATTATCCACCACAGTTCATGGTTTAGAAGAAACAATTTTTTCTCTCCAAACCCAGTCGCGATGAACTTTGCTTATGGATCTCTTTCCTTAAGCAATGGAACGGCTGTTCCTTTTTCTACAGCGACTTGATTGCATCCCCTATTGACATCAACACATACACAGACGCTGCCCCTCCAATAGGTTACAGTGGCTAATATAAAGGACACTGGTTTGTCTCAACATGGCCAACCCAATTGTAATTCCATTCCAAAGACCAATGTTTTTCAGCCCTCTTCAAATTCTACCCTATCATCGCAGCAGCCATCCTGTGGGGGGACGAATGGTCTACATCTAGCATTCTCTTTCACTGCGATAACGAAGCTACAGTGCATTGCATTAACAAAGGGCGCTCCCACTCCCAATCGCTTATGCCATTTTTAAGACACCTTATCTGGATATCTGCTAAAAAACAATTTATCATGATTGCTGAACATGTACCTGGTTGCAAAAACCAAATCGCTGACTCTCTCTCTCTCATTTCTCTTTGCAGATATTCTGGCAACTAGCCCCGGAAGCAGACCCTCACCCAACGCCGGTCCCTCCTTATTCAGTAACGATATTTTTATAAACCACCCACTTCATAATCTTCATCAAACTTCTCTATCTCTTATCCTACAAGCAATAGCTCCCAGAACCCTCAATGCATACCTCACAGCATGGAATTCGTTCAAACAATTCCATACCATGCTAGACAACCCATTACACTCAAAATCCTTACCTCATGCATCTACACCCTCTGTAAAGGTTACATTTCCTCCCATACAGCCCGCACCTTAGATGCTATGTTCAATCTAGCATTTTTTGGGGGGTTTCTTAAATGTTCTGAATTAACAGTTACATCCAAATTTAACCCTCTACTCCACCCCACCATCTCAGATCTAGCTTTGCAAGACAGGGAAACTATCTCTTTCCTTATCAAACAAAGCAAAACAGATTAATTCCAGAGAGGACACTCTATCCTCATTTTCAATATTCCTTCACCTACACGCCCATTCCAAACCCTCTTAGCCTAGAAAATCTCAAGAGGCGAACCCACTGGCCCCGCTTTTTACTGATGACGCTAACCGTCCAGTATCTCGATTCTGGTTTCAAAAACACCTTAAAGAAATCTTTCGCCTATCAGGTTTTTTCCCAGAGCCCTTTTCCAGCCACTCATTCAGGATTGGCGCAGCCACTACAACGGGCTCTCACACCATCAGATCCAGACCCTTGGTCGCTGGTCTTCTGAAGTTTTCAAATCTTATATACGTCTCAGTAAATACCACCTCAAGAAAGCCCAACAGGCTTTAACCAACCCCCAAGCACCTCCTCACACGGCTCCAACTCAAAAAGGTGTCTAACAGAGCCTCGACTCTCGCAAGAGTCATCCAAACCAAACCCCGCAGAAGCCCAATTGTCCACCCATGGCACCCTTACATGTTTGCCAAGGACTCCCTCAAGGGCCATTGCAGTTAGCATCTTCTGCAATCACCAATAGCTATTTACAGATGCAGACATTTGTATCCACATGTTCTTTGCGCATTTACTGCATTTGTACATATGTATTATATTTGTGCTTGTTCCCTTCTTCCAACTTTTCCAAATCTTTTATCCTTATAACCCTACTTTTCAGCCTCTCGTTCCTTTCTTCTCTACACTCCACTCCCAACTAATCTATTTTACACTCTACCTCTAATGATCTTGTTTCTCCTGTCTAGACTCTCCAGACACCCGAAGGGGCCCCCTTGAGCTCCAACTCTTGCAGGATTCGGCCATAGCGGCCACAGTCCTTTCTTCTTCACGATGTTACCTATTCTTTTTCCGCCTAGACTCTTTCTCCAAGCTCCAAACCCCGCAGGGGTCCGCTCAAGCTAAAACTTCTTCACTCTACTTCAACTACCTCTCTTCTCCTTATGACTCACCCTCTAGCTCTGACCCCCACAGGGGTCGCTCCGAGCCCCAATCTCTCGCAAGAGTTATCCAAATCCTCTTTCCCACTCACTGATATCTATCTCCTCCTATCCGCAATCTACCCTCAAGCTCTGACCTCCACAAAGGTCGCTCAGAGCTCCAACTCTCACAAGAGTTACTCTCTTCCACTCACTGCTACCTATCTCCCCCTATCTACACTCTACCCCCAAGCTCTGACCTCCACAGAGGTCGCTTCAAGCTCCAACTCTCGCAAGAGTTACTCTTTTCCACTCATTGCTCCTCCCAGCTACACTCTACCCTCAAGCTCAAACCTCCGCAGAGGTCACTCCTATCTACACCCTACCCTCAAGCTCAAACCTCCGCAGAGGTCACTCCTATCTACACCCTACCCTCAAGCTCAAACCTCCGCAGAGGTCACTCCTATCTACACCCTACCTTCAAGCTCAAACCTCCGCAGAGGTCGCTCCTAGCTACACTCTACCCTCAAGCTTAAACCTCCGCAGAGGTCACTCCTATCTACACTCTACCCTCAAGCTCAAACCTCCGCAGAGGTCACTCCTATCTACACCCTACCCTCAAGCTCAAACCTCCGCAGAGGTCACTCCTATCTACACTCTACCCTCAAGCTCAAACCTCCGCAGAGGTCACTCCTATCTACACCCTACCCTCAAGCTCAAACCTCCGCAGAGGTCACTCCTATCTACACCCTACCTTCAAGCTCAAACCTCCGCAGAGGTCACTCCTATCTACACCCTACCTTCAAGCTCAAACCTCCGCAGAGGTCGCTCCTATCTACACCCTACCCTCAAGCTCTAACCTCCGCAGAGGTCACTCCTATCTACACCCTACCCTCAAGCTCAAACCTCCGCAGAGGTCACTCCTATATACACCCTACCTTCAAGCTCAAACCTCCGCAGAGGTCGCTCCTATCTACACCCTATCCTCAAGCTCAAACCTCCGCAGAGGTCACTCCTATCTACACCCTATCCTCAAGCTCAAACCTCCGCAGAGGTCACTCCTATCTACACCCTACCTTCAAGCTCAAACCTCCGCAGAGGTCGCTCCTATCTACACCCTACCCTCAAGCTCTAACCTCCGCAGAGGCCGCTCTAAACTCAAACTCTCACAAAGCTCCATCTTTCGTAAGAGCTACTCTCCTCCACTCTCTGCTCCATACCTTCACTCTACTCTGGCCCCCGCAGGGGTCACTTAGAGCTCCAACTCCCACAAGATTCACTCAAAGTTCTCTTTCCACTGCTTCAAACCACCTATTCTCCCCTTCTTCTTAACCCCGAAAACCATGAACCCCGCAGGGGTTCCTTCAAACTCTAACTCCAGCAAGAGTTATCAGAATCCTCTTTTCACCCTTATTAATCCTATCTAATTAATGCCCATGCATTTAACCTCTTTCCTTCTATTATATCCAGCAGCCGGATATAGCTCTAAATTTCCTGCCTTTTGGGGGGTTTTTTCTTCGAATACGCGGCTGCTGTCCCGAGCGATTAATTTCTGCATTTTGGGGAGTTCTGAGATCCACCGAGCTCAGGCTCCCTTCTTGCTCTGCCAACGGGAGGAAGCCCCGGGCTCGAGGAGCCCTTGAGCTCGGGGCTCTCTCCCGGGACAGCATGCCAAATAAGCTTTGTAAATCATCAGCTAAGTGTGAACTCTTGAAGTGAAGTTTATTCATAAACTAATTTCGAGAGGATCACGTGCTTATGATTTATCACGTCCAGTCTCGCATTTGCTAATCACTAATCTTCCAATCATATGAGCCCTAAGGCACCATAAATAGTCTAAGTTTTCAGTTCACTTTATCTTCGTTTGGAAGAAACCCCCCTCCTCCCCTATTCTCCTCCTTTACCTGTAATTGGGCGGCACGGCGGTCCAGTGGTTAGCACTGTGAACCACACAGCAAGAATACTGCCGGTCCTAGTTCAATAGGACCGGTGAGTGTTTCTGTGGGGAGTTTGTATGTCCTTCCCGTGTCCGCGTGGGTTTTCCCCGGGCTCTCCGGTTTCCTCCCACCATCCAAAGACATTCAACATACTTAACAATCAAGCTGGTCTAATTCCTTACGTTCCCTTAGCTACAGCGGCAGGGGAGTTCTGAGATCCACCGAGCTCAGGCTCCCTTCTTGCTCTGCCAACGGGAGGAAGCCCCGGGCTCGAGGAGCCCTTGAGCTCGGGGCTCTCTCCCGGGACAGCATGCCAAATAAGCTTTGTAAATCATCAGCTAAGTGTGAACTCTTGAAACTAACACATTTAAAAACATGCAAATTGTTCCTATGTCATTTTCGATCCTCTAGCACAGTGGTCACCAAACTTGTTCCTGGAGGGCCGGTGTCCTGCAGATTTTAGCTCCAACCCTAATCAAACACACCTGAACAAGCTAATCAAGGTCTTACTAGGTATACTTAAAACATCCTGGTAGGTGTGTTGAGGCAAGTTGGAGCTAAACCCTGCAGGGACACCGGCCCTCCTGGACCGAGATTGGTGACCCCTGCTCTAGCGCAAAAGTGCCCAAGTTCGGTCCTGGAGAAAGTTTTTAGTATAGGATACCTACTTAGAGCTTAGGTGGTTCAGGTGTGTCTTATTGGTGTTGGAGGTAAACTATGCAGGACACGCAGCTGTAGTGCATAATAAATTAAAACGTATGAGTTATGCAGATTAATATTGATTTGGTTGTTATTCATCTTATGTTAAAATTTTAAATATATGCGCCAATCATTCGAGCAGATAAATTTTCTGATGTTGTTATGGGTTTTGAAGTTGTCAGCTATTATCCTCTGTACATAAATCACTACCACAACAAAAACTCAAGACACTTATGACTTTGGTGACCCGTTAGGTTTACAATTATGATCCATTCTTGAAAATACAGTTCTGCAAAACAGTGATATTATCTAATATCTCTTTTGGCTTACCTGTCGAGTTAGTGTTGATGCAATTTCCTCTAAAACAGGAAGGCAGCGTGGGCCATATGCAGCAGCACCTCCCATTTTAAAAATAGCCAATTCCGTTTATTGGCCAGACCCATGTGACAGCTAGTCGATTCTGTCTAAACGATTGTCGAAGATAACTGCATGATCCTTGTATCTGTATTTGTTGTAATGTACTGTTATTATTGCAATAAATAATAAAAATAATAATACTAATAATAAACAATCAAAAACTTTATTTTCATTAACTGATGTTAACAAAATGAATAAATACTGTCGTTAATGTAAAATAATAATAATAATAACAAAAACTGAACATGATCCTATGACTGAGGCTGCTGTCGCGTCAGGACAAGAGGGGAAAAAGGGTGTGAATAATTATCATCATTATCAGCCCAATAAGAAAGAATATAACTGTTACACTGTCTGAATGGTTTAATTTTTATATAATACATTGTGCAAGCGTTATTAACCGAACATTAAAGCCATTTATTTTGAGCAGCTTCTATTTATATCGCAAGATATTTATATCACTTTATATTTCAGTCAGCATTTGACTGGACAGAAATTCTAAAGAGAAGCTGTAATGCAGTGATGTCATTGAAAATGTTAAGGAAAGAAACTGCCATTTTAATGAGTTTTTCTTTTAAATCTTTTTTTTTTTTTTTGGTCATTGTTTTGGAGCATACAACTTTTGGATAAAACCATAACTATGTTTAATTAAATGTAAACAGGTTTAAATTTTAGTACTAAGTTATTAAGGCAAATCTCTCGTATGTAAGATTTTTTATTTTTCATTTTAAATGAAAGATTTCATGGAATTTATTAGGTTAATTTTAGTAATTGGGAGTAAAACAAATAGATGATTATGACTAGGTTGACTACTGACCAAGGCTCTCATTTTCTAATAAATTATTTAAAAGACCCAATAAATCATCAATCAATCAATACATCACAAGCGTTGTTTCTGTCATTATGGTAAATGTCAGAATAAACTGAGAACAAGTGGTCTAAAGCCACATTTAAAACCTTTGATACATTTCATTCCAATAAAGTAAAACTGTATAGATGACATTATTGTGCATAAAAATCTAGATCATTGAGAAAATAAAGATCATTGAGACAAAAAGTTTAAGAAAACATTTTTATTTTATATTAGAAAACCAATAATTTTTAACTACTTGGATATACAAAACTGTTGGAGAATCATATTAGACATCCTCTGCAAACGGAAGTACAAAATAATATGTTGAGATAATAAACACTTCTATTATGGTATTGCACATGTTTCAAATACTATGAAAATGTTTAGTGGCACCACAAGTAAAAAGTCTGTAGCAACCTTAGTACCGATCTCTGAAACTTACAACAATCTAGTCTGGAATCTCCTCCGTGAAATGATTTGGACATTATTGCGTGATAAATCAATTTTCCACCAGCATCTCTACATACAGTAAGTCACGTTAACACAGGGCAGATCTGTGATGCAGCTGAGATTGCATTGATTTCAAGTGTTAATCTTCCACCGTAAGGCTATTAAGTGGCTGTGTGGACACATAGATCTCACCTAAGCAGCATCACCTGTCTATCTCAGAGAAAAGAGAAATCTTAATGCTCTTGCTGGAGGGCCAACATTTAAAGAAAACCAATTACACACATTGAAATCTGTCATTTTCTGATTGTGCAGTAATGTGTAGCTCACAGATACTGCTTGAATCTTTTCAGCCAGTAAAGAACAAAAATCGATAAAAACACTCAAAAATATGATGACAATCTTTTGATCTGAAAATATATTTGTCTGTACACAGTTTTGTTTGTAAACAAATAAAAAGCGTTTTGTTTCTTGATTACATTTTTTTTCATGTGTAAAACTGAATTCATCAGGTAAAAATAAACCTAGTTATCTTGATATTGACAAAATAAATAGACATAAGTTAAAACATATGTGCAGGGTGGCCCAATGCACTCAGTAGTGTTAAAAGCATCTTACGTCCGACATATTTTAATCCCTTTTCGCAGTATTGTGTCACATTTAGTAACTCACTTTATTGTAGTACCAGTAATACTTTAAAATATCTATCAGTCATTTTCTAAAATAAAACCTTCCAGCATAAATTTATATGAAATGGTGTGACCCCAGGAAAAACTCCAAAACACAAACCAACAATAAGAGGTCATGTCACACACCTTTTGATTTTTTTTAAATAAATCCACTCAAATATCGCTCTAGCTTCAATGAGCCTGTAGTTTTTAGATGCTTCCGGCACAGGGCGGTTCATCCTATCGCTCAGCCCCTTTGTCTTGCAGGGGCTTGAAGTGTAACACAAGGCCCATTATCAGCCTGACACAGGCCTTGTCTGTTAGTGGTTAGGAAAAGCCCTTTGGCTTGGATTAAGACAGGTCTACATCTGTTCCACAGGAGGCCCCTCCTCTTTAGGTGCAGGCTCCAGGTGAATGGGAGTGACATTACTGGGCTTCTTAACACTGAGGGAGAGAGGAAGATTACATTAAAGGTCACATCTAAAAGTTTCAGGTACAATATCATATGTATCATACACACAAAATTGTTTAAGAAACTAAGTAATAATAATAATAATAATAATAATAATAATAATAACAACAACAATAATAATAATGATAATAATAATAAAGTAACATAATTTGCAATGCACTTTCCTTACACTCAAGGTGCTACAGAAGTAGAAACAACAATAAAACATTGCTATTCCATAACAGCAATCACAATGACAACACAATAGTTACAAAACACAACTATAAAATTATAACTTAAAGTAAATAAAGACAGACATGCAGACCAAAAAACAGCACAAAGCAACAAACCATTAAAACAAAAACAGAATAAAACTGAAGGAAAAACAAACACAAAAACACAGAAAAATAAAATACAGAACAAAACAACAACAAAAAACATCAAAAAAGAAAAACATTTTATGTTGTGTATATATATATATATATATATATATATATATATATATATATATATATATATATATATATATATATTAGTATTTTTATTATTATTTTGCTTGTTTTGTGTTTTTTTCTTTGATGTTGTTTTGTATTATATTTTTCTGTGTTTTGTGTTTTTGTTTTTTATTCGTTGTTGAGGAACATTCAATTAAACAAAAATAGAATAAAACTGAAGAAAATACAACAAAGAATAAAACAAACAAAATCACAAAAAACAAAAATAAAATACAGAACAAAACAACACAGAAAAAAAACTAAACAAAACAAGTAATACAGTGGTCCCTTGATAATCGCGGGAGTTACATTCTAAAAACTGTCAAAGGTGAACCGCATTATGGCGATGGATAACTGTATAGCAAATACAACAACAACAAAAAACTAAAATACAGAACAAAAATGCAAGAAAAAAATAAAAAATAAAATAACTGGGCACAGAAAAAAAGCATATTAACTGCCACAACAAATAAAAAAAAATCCTGGAGTAAACAGGATTTCCTACGTAATAGTTTCAGCTATTATTACTAATAATGTGTTATGCTGGCCCCCAGGGAAGGCAGTTGTAAGGACCATATACAATTTTTTGCTTTGACTCTCTTTAAGGTTCATAAAAAAACATGAACGGTGTTAAATTATACACCCAATATATATTTTATTTCAGTTTTATTAGATAGTTTTAAGCATCACTAGCGTTAAAGACAAGTACCTCTAAGATTAAAGACATAAAAAACCATGCCTTTAAAATCCATCTAAAAACACAGGACACTTGAAGACCAGAAAAAAATTTATATGGCAAAAACATTGGTATGCACATTTCACAAACGTCCTATTGATTTGACATATGTGATGGAACATGTGAAGGTGTCACATTTAATAAGCAGTGAGTTTCAGAGCTTTGAGATTACATAAATGCATGTATACTCACGAGTACGGCGAGATTGGAACAGCCACTACCAGGATGTGGTTCTTCTTTCTGAAGAGCCTCCAGAGTCCTTTGTGATAACCTCGTACATCCAGGTCCCACACATGCAGGCACTACAAGCAGTAAACAAGATAAGGCCACAACCTAATACCACAGCTTTAATACCCGCATGACAGTATTTATATATTTATTTCAGTATATTTCCTCTCTCACTGTTCATAAGCCATTTATCTACCCCTGCAGGCTCTTCAAACAACAGCCAGCTATAATCTGCACCTTTTGCTCAGATATACAGGCCAATTTAAGATGCACTGCAATCCACTGTAACAACAAATGCAGGGTAAATACTGCCTAACCTGCTCTGTTCATTGAGATGTGCAAACAAAACCTCTTTAGACCAAGGATCTTTACACTGCACTAAATTCAACATACCTTCGCCAACTCTGTCCAAGTGTTTGTGTCTGTTTCCTGTTCCATTTTGATGAACATGACAAAGGTCTTTCCCTCTGTATCTGGGATAAACGAGTCTTCACATGGGTTTTTACTGTGGTCCAGAACCTCAGCTTCACTGCAGGCACACAAATGAGTCGTTGTAATAATGCAATTTTAAGCATTTTTGATTAATTATCCAATAATGGAGTAGAATGCATTTATTTACCGTAGTAAGTTTTGAATTTCAATCTCATATGGATCTTTTTTCAAGCTGTAAAAATAGAGAGAAAATTAAAAATGACTTCAAGGCATATAAATGAGAAGAAATTAGAGATGACTGGATGAATACATACTTCTCAACATTCTTCATCTGAACATTCGGAATAGTGTTGAACTTGTGCTTTTTAAAGTAAACTTCCTGTAAAAGATAAAAAAAAATGTACTTTTTTAAAACTTTTTTTATTTAGAGAAAAAAAAGAAAAAAAAAGTAGAAATAAAAAAACAGAGAACAAAGTGGTTGTCATACGGGTTACAGAATCAAGTCATGATACATTCGACATACATTATCAGAAAGTGTTTACAATTACATATTCAGACCATTTTTCCCAGTACTTGTTACACTTTTTTTAATCAAATCTTAGATTAAAAGTGAGTCTTTCCATGCAGTGTATTTCCTTTACAATTCCTATCCATTGAACCCTTTTAATGTACTTTTTTAATTGTTAACTTGTAATATGCTTTTAAAAATTGTATAAAAATGCTGCCCTAGAGTTCTCTATTGGAAAAAGATATTTTATTTATTCATAAAAGTTGGTACAAAAATAAAATATGAAAAGCATAATATATAATACAAAAAGACAGATGCTATATGTAAAAAATAAGGAAAATTCAAGGTAGTGAACAACAGTCACTGACAATTGTAAGTATAAGCATCTCACTTACATGGAAGTAACCATTCATGTTTAAGCCAATGATGCCAAAGTGATAAGAGCGGGAAACATCAGGAATGACACACTCTCTTCCCTTCCTCTGCTCTGGCATCCGCATCCACATATCCCAATCCCACAGCTATGGCATTGTAACAATACGAATGGATGAAGAAGAAGAAAGTTAACAGAGACAGGCTTAATCTATTTTGCTAATACACTGTCATTTAAAAGTTTGGTGTAACTTTTATTTTCCTAAAACAGACTGGTGTTTTTATTCAGCATTAAAACTGATTTAAAAAATAATAGCAAAGCGTGTTAAAAAAAACGTGTTATGTTACAATAGATTTCTAATACTTTTGAACTGTTATTTAATGATGACAATAGTAGTGGGCATCAAATTCAAACATGGAAAATGATTTCTGAGGGATTATGTGATACTAAAGACTGTAAAAATGTACATTTGTCATTATCATCATAAGACTAAATGAGCTTTTAAAATTAAGTTTTAAAAAACATCTCATCTCATCTTTTTATTTACCTTTGAATAAAATATTAGTACCGATAAAGTATAAGTACCAATAATCCACAAAATATTTTTATTTATTCATTTATATTTTTATTTATTTTTGGAAGTCTAATTTGACACATCCAAACCACTGCAGAAATGTTCCAACCAACAGGCCCATGTCATATTCAGTACAGATACTTAATAAATAATCTACTAATAATTAAAAGCATTAACGTATGCAATGTTTTTTGTTTTCACAAGCTTTTGAGATGTAACAAATTCCGCTTTAAATATTAGGCCACCTATAGCTTTTATCATGAGCCACGGCTGTGTTCAAAATGACATACATTTTTTTAAAGTGCACTACGAAGGGGACGCAAATGTAAACATGAAGATCGCTAAAACTGAACTGTAAAAATACTTTGAAAGCTAACTACATCTAATAGAGATGACTTTATTTTAATACTTTTTAGAATTCTAAGTTTAAATGTTACAATCTTCTAAACACAGAGCATAGGGGGATAACTGGGAATAGAACACAGCCGGGAACTTTGTTTCTAACTACAGCTCCAGAGGTTTATTAGCAAGCATACAAATTTGCGAAGCAGTTTGCGAATGTTCGTTGGAACGATGAATTTGGAAAATGACAAATCAACAAGCTATGTTTGTAATGATGGAACTTGCGACCTTAGTTGGCTAACGATGGTTTTCAGAAACACACCCCAGATTGACTCTTTAAATGTTAGCAATGTTATTCAACTTCAGTATCAGTCGATGATTACATTGAATGACTCGATCGGTACTCGCCAATCTGGCTGATCTTATGAACTGATCGCAAGTGTTTGTTACAACATGTGAGGAGGTAAATGATGCATGGGGTGTAAGCGATCGCTGCGCACACATCGCAGCAGCTAAAATATATACAGATGTGGTCCAACCACTGTTTATACAGTTTATTGATGAGACTTGCGCGAGTGATGGTCTTTAGTTGCAACCATTGCATATCCAGTGTTTTGAGCTGCTGTGACGAGAGTGGAGCAATCAGCCCCATCTTATGTCCAACTGTACGACCTCTCCCAGAAGCTCCACGAGTCTCCCACATATTATCTATTATTTTCTGTAAAGGTGCTTCTGTCCACACTAAAGGGTTATAGTAAATATGTTTAAGATTATATGCAGTAATAATAAAGTATAGGATTATATTCAGCATCCTTATTTTATTATCTTAGGTAAGTAGAGATCTCCACTTAAATTTTATACAACAGGAAAAATATGCTTTATGCAATGGCAAAGTTACATAAAGCTTGAAGCATCAGAATCGGTACTCGATATTGGCAAATAACTAGGACAAGGAATCAGTACTCCGTATCGGCTGCAAAAATCCTGATTGGAGCATCCCTACAAACCACTAAAATCCATAGTGAGAACAGCACTTCCAAATCGTGAGAGAAGATTTAATCACTTCTAAAAGCTTTACTGTAAGCAAATGGAGTGGAAAATTGTGCCAAATGAGACATTGCTTTTGGGTGATTTAGCTTGTAAACTGTAAATATATATACAGTAATGATGTAGACATAAATTATATGCTAAACACATGCAACGGCTGGCTCACCTTCTCAGGAGTCGGCCATTTGGGTTCCAGCTCATCCTTGTAAAGGCTCTTTTTAAGCACCCAGCCAAGGCCAGGCATGCTTTCCACCCTGTACAGCAGTGATGGGTCCTCCGCCGTATGCTCGTAACCCTTCAAAACAGCACAGCAGAGAGGTCAAGTCCACTGCCTGAAGTAACTTAGCCAACCATTGTTTAGCAGAACAAAAACATGTGAACAGAAATAACAATTACAAACAGTTACCTCTGAGATTCAACAAAGTGAAAATAGCACATTGTCAGCAATCATTTTTATTCCCACTCACTTGGTCATTCCAGGCTGAGATACAGTACAGACTGTCATCCTCATGCAACAAATGGATGGTCTGACCGAGAAAGCTACAGGCAAAAGTGGAAGAAATAAATCACAATTAATGACATTTTGTCAAATGCTGTAACTCAGTCTTTTCTATTAAGATGAGTTGAGCTTCTTGTTTCTGCTCAGTGCACTCATGTATTTCTAAACTAGCCTGATAAGTAATACAGAAGTCTGCTACCATCTAGTGGATATCGTCAGTTTTACATATGGGTTTTCAAGCATTAATGCAAAAATGGTCTATTTCAGCTTCCTACACTGTATATTTAAATGCATGCAATTTTATTTATTTTCTGAAAAAAGTTTGACTTTAAACAGGGTTTCGGCAGGTTTTATCAATTAAAATGTTTAAGAACTTAACTTTAAGACATTAAGACAATTATGAATGAAATTTCAAACAGAGCTAAACACTATGACCTTTTTAATGATAAAGGAAGATTTTTTACTTGCCACAATTTCTTAGCCATATTTTAAATAATGTGTCAAAACAAGCAAACTCTAGTTGCATACATACACATTTTTCTCAACATAATGCGTCTTAAAATATATATATATTTTTTTTAACTACATGAAAAGTCTATCCAGGTCAGTGTCCTTACCATGTAGCTAGACATACATAAAGTACCTTTAAAAAACGTTATTGTAAGGAAGATAATTAAACTATATTGATGAACTTTTGTTAAAAGGTTTAGATGAGGTGAGATGTGTTGATTGTTGAGTGTCCGCCCGATTGGATAGCTATACATAGGCATAAGAAAATGAAGAACTGTTTAAACTGTTTAAGACCAACAACACAATATTTCAGTAAATTTAAGACTTTTTAAGGCTAAAAATCATGTTTTGGAAACACAGACCAACTAAAACATTTTACTATGATTTACAGAAGATTTGTGCAACAATGTCATGCAGTTAAACAATAGTTTCACAATTAGTTCAAGAAGACTTATTTATAAGAATTGAATAGGATTGTTCACCCAAAAATGAAATTGCTGTCATCGTTTACTCACCCGTCACTTGTTTTAAACACATCGACTTTCACTGTATTTGCTGTTCTATGGATTTTAATAGCTACAGGTTCAGCTTTTTTCAAAAATCTTCCTTTGTGTTCAACAGAATAAAGAAACTCAAAGGTTTACAACCATTTGAGGGTAAATGGTGAGTAAATAAAAATTTTTAGGTGAACTATTCCTTTTCTATGGTTTCCATTTACACAAAATCTCTTTTGTAATTGATAAGGACACCAAAATGGGTCATGTCTTTGCTGCACATAAGCACTATTTAAAGATAAATTACATTTTCCATACCTGAAAAAATCTATGGAAATATCCAGGTCCTCCTCGAGGACAATGGCAAAATCTGCATCCTAAAACAGTTTACACAGTCAGATACCTGCAAGCTGTTTTAATATACAGTTGAAGTCAGAATCATTAGCCCCCCTGAATTAATAGCCCCCGTTTATTTTTTCCCAATTTCTGTGTAACGGAGAGAAGTTTTGTTCAACACATTTCTAAACATAATAGTTTTAATAATGAATTTATTTTACCTATGTCATGATGACAGTAAATAATGTTTTACAAGATATTTTTTCAAGACACTTCTAAACAGCTTATAGTGACATTTAAAGGCTGGTTAAGGTAATAAGGCAAGTTATTGTATAAAGATGGTTTGTTCTGTTGACTAAATATATATATATATATATATATATATATATATATATATATATATATATATATATATATATATATATATATATATATATATAAATATAGCTTAAGGGGGCTAATAATGTTGACTTTCTCCAGAAGAAAAAATATCATCAGACATACTGTGAAAATTTCCTTGTTCTGCTAAACATCATTTAGGAAATCTTTAAAAAAGAAAATGATTCAAAGGGTGGGCTGATAATTCTGACTTCAAATGTATAACTGCATACAATATGTGCATAAAGTAGGAATTTACTCACTGGATGAAGATTGAAGGTTGCAGTCAAGCTGGCTTTGTAGTGCTGAGACAAAACGAAACATTAGGATGATTTTTAAACATCTTTTAAGTTTTTTTTTTTTTTTTTGAGGATCAATTTACACAGAAATATCACCTGTGATACTCTTGCGTTTTTAATACTGATAGGCGTATGCTGAACTCCTTTAAGGCCGAACAGATCTACCACATCCATGGGCTCCTAATCAGAAATGTAAAACAAAATATGTCAAATCATCTCATAAAAACTTAATACAAAATTGTAAAACGTACTTAAAAAGAATATAAAAATCTGAAAAGCAGATGTAACCTCATAATATCCATCAATAAAAACAGTGATCATCTGTGGATTGACACCATGGGAGGAAAGAAGAGAGCGCAGCATTCTAGGATAGAAACAAACATGGCAGTGAATGTAAAAATGAGTTATTGAATGCATGTTTCCTACATTCTCTCCTGAAATTAAACAATAAATTGCAAATAATATTGGAGGCTTTCACACTAGCATTTTGGGTGGACTATTTGAGTAACGTGAATGTTGTTTTCTGATCTTAAGTGTGCACCATTAAACCACACCGAAGTTTGTCCATCTTCTATTCCATTTTTCTATATGAACAAATGTATAAATACATAAACGCTCTTCCAACAAATGTAACTTATACATGCCATGCACTCATGATGTGGTTTGGTTGTAAACAAAGAAATTTAGTTTACTAACCTATAGAGATAGTTTGGTCTATTTCCAGCGATAACTGCTACTGGGATGTTGTAGACATTGTTGTTAGACAGCTAGAAAAGACATGGAAACATCAGCAAGTGTATGAGTTTACTTTGTTCATCAGAATCACTCTACAGTATTATATATATAAAATATTGTACAGTGATTTTGATGTACAACAATATACCAGCAATTTATCTTACTAAAATAACCTCTCAGCGTCTGACTGACAACTAGTTCATTTAGCACAGTTCAACTTTTCAGACAGTGCAAGAGTAAAATTTGTTGCATGGAATTTATTCAACACATTATGAAATAGTACATTAAAAAATATAAATCACAATAATAAAAAACCTTTAGTATTCATACATCCCTGTGATTCTGATATCAACACATTATGCATACAATAACAACAGCTTTTAAAAGTAATCTAATGGTTTTTAATGTTATTAAACCTGTTCTTATGCTCACCAGGGCTGCATTAATTAAATATAAAAATATACAGTTATAGTATTGATTTAAAGCATTGTTATAAAACAAACCTTTTTATTTTTAAACATTCTAAATACTCATTTCTTAATTTTTCATTAATAACAAAGTTTTAAACTGTAGTGAATTAAGAGCATTTTTAAATAGGATGTGTCTTACTGGGTCTGGATTGAACTCAATGGGAGCTGGATCCTTGCAACTACAAATGCTCCCGTATCCTTCCACTTTACTGCAGAAGAGCTTCCTCCGGCGGTTCAGCTCTGTGTCTGCCCAATGACACTCTGCCTCTGAAAATCACAATGTAAACATACAGTTTGGATTTTAGCGTAACCTAAGTGCAAGATGTGACCTCTACATTCATAGCAGAGGCAAACTTACCTTCAGAAGCTGTGAGCTGCACCTCAGTCTTCAGCAGCACAGGATCCCCCCATGTGGACAGAGCAGGAGATTTTGAATGCTTCTCCCCATACACCTGACCTGAGGAAATAAAAATCACAGAAATATCTCAATATCAAATACATGAGACACATTAATTATGCTATACCCGTCAAAATGTGAAACAATTAATTTATGAATAAAGTTTGCAATTGTTTCATCAAAAATACAACGAAACAGTATAATTTGATAAAATATAATAACATAACATTTTGTGGAAACTATGATATGGTCCGGCCAGTAATCTTTAAGGAAGACATTTATTTCAAATGTAATGATTTTGTAATCTTGCCTGTCATGTTTGATATTAATGTTTAATAAAATATTTTGTTTAAATCAGACTCATCCCTAAATGTAATTGTAGTGTAACATGATTTCCCCAAAGATATTAAGCAACAATTAAATTAATAATACCAAGAAATATTTCTTCAGTACCAAATCAGCATATTAGAATGATTTCTAAAAGATCATGTGTCATAAATGTTATATAAGAGCAGTGATTATAGTAATACTATCCTTTTGACAAATAAATGCTGGTTTTGATAAAATAAAAATATAAATCATTCCAAACTTTTAAAGGTAATATCAAAAGTCAAAAAGCATTGTCCTTACCTCCCTTTTTCACAACTAGAGTCCACATATCTCTCCAACCTAAGGTGACAGCAACTTGACTGCCCAAACCTTTAAGAAGATTCTTGGCAGCATCCTTTAAATGAAAAGTCCCCTCATCCTGAAGAAGCCAACAACAAATGCCCTTATGAACACACAAAACACAAAAACAAAACCAAGAGAGTGCAGGAAAGATGTGTGTATCTAACCTTAATAGTGAAGATAAGGATTCTTCCACGTGTGACCATGTTGAGGAAGAGAATCATGGCTTCATCCTCATGTGGAGAATAAGTATCGAACACTCTTTTGGCCATGACATGACCCTGTTAAAAAAAGACAGACAACTTGATTTGCAAAAATAGCCTAATAATACTTATAATCATGTATAACATGACATGCAATTTTTTTACCCTAAAAAATAATTATAATAATACAGATTTTTAATAATTATAAAATAGCTAAATCATGTAAATTTTAAAGGTTAAGAAATGTAATGTATGAGTGTATTCATAATAGAGTTTAAATTCATAATGTACAAAACATCAAGTAAATTATGTACTTTTTGGTTATAGTGAAACACTCATAGCAGAAGCTAAAAACATTTGGGTCAAGGTTGCAATTTCTTCTGTTACTGGCCAAAATTCAAACCATTGTAATAAGAAATAAAACTGAAAAAAAAAAAAACATACATTTGAAAATCAGAACTAACAACTGTACCTAAGCATGGATGATAACCTTTTTCAAGGTTTACCCCGGTTTGGAAAAGTTTTAAAACCGCTAAACTTTTCTGTTATACTGTTCCTAAGGTATATGTAAACTTTTTTTATGTGTTTTTTTTTTTTTTTTAATGTGTTGCAAAAAAATCTGTGCTTCTGAAACGAATGAAGATAGCACAAGTTAGTTAGATAGATAGTTATTTATTATTCAAACATTCAAAAAGTACTTACTTTAGAGCAGTAACCACAATACTGTAATATCGGGAAACCATGATATTTTTATTTAAGAGTATCATACAGTCACAAACTTATACCACCACATGCCTAACTGTAACTGGTAATAAAAATTTTCTGGTAATTAAGGGGGAAAAACAAGACTTCTTCACCTTATTTATTGTTAAAAACTAAATGATATGAAATTTTCTTAAAAATGTGCTAAAGCAAAGCAAGCACTATTTTTCAGAAATAGAAAGAAATATATACTGGATTTCATCCAGTAAATACTGTATGATGTGAGGTGGTGAAATATATATATATATATATATATATATATAAATAAAACATTTATTCTATTGAACACAGGGAGGAAAAAAGTGCTTTAATTGCAAATGTTTTTTTTTTTTTTTAGTGTTCTAACTTACATTTGAAACATGGAATCATAGCTAATTTTATAGTGAAAGAGTGGACATTATGAAGAAAAAGTAAAGTTAAAGAACACATATTAAGTCATGGGATGTTGTTAATATGCTTGCTTACTGTGGCCTGATTTAGAACAATAACATGAATGCCTCGGCCCTGCTCCCTTATCTCATCTTCCAGCACCTGCAAAAACACAATGAATACTTTAGCTAATGTTCACTTGCAAATGTGTCAAAAACCTTCATGAAACAGGCTTAGAATGACTTACAGTGGTGCCGTCTACTGCCACATACACCTTGGAGCGGCTAGAGTACACCTCAATGTCCAAAACTTTCCTCCCACTGGCTGGTCTGCGTGGGGTTTCCATGTTAGGCAGGGCATCATCTGAAATCAGTACAATGATAGCATAAACGAAATAGCACAAAGTAAAAACTGAAGGACTGGTTACTACATCACTATTTTGAAAAATTTAAAATTCCATGGTTCTTATCTGGAGGACCTCATAGTATTAACCTTATCTCAGATCAGTTTTAAAATGTTGTTTGTCGTAAAACAAAAAGGAATTAGAGTAGTGTCTTGTTGTTCTGTCCACAATAAAGCAAACAATATAAGCTTTTAAACTAAAAAGAATGCATATTATATAGATACCTAATATTTAATGATTTATTAGATAAGCTAAGTGCATTTGATAGGTTACGGCTGTTTCACACCGCAAGCGTCAGCAGCGCGTGTTTTTTCGGCGTCCATGTTAACAGTTTAGAGCTTTCATACCGCACGCAGCAGCAGCGCGTCTGTGCGAGGCTTGAGCGTCGCTGAAGCAGCAGTGCAGCGATAGTTTCGCCGCTGGGTCTATTTTTGCCGCACTGCTCACGCTCATTTAAAGTGACAGTGCATTGATAATGACCAAAACACATTGAGTGACAGTAAAAAGTAGCAACTTTACCCAATAAATGCGTTAATAATGTCAAATTATTCATATATAGTCAATCAAATGAACTTAAACGATTAAATAAATAACATTTTAGGCCCGAACTACAAAACCAAATGTAAAACAATTTTAGTATCAGTTTTGATTAAGTTGCACGCTAGTGTTTCAGGAGAGAGGAAATAAATTATTTAGGGGAGTTGTAGTCCATAGTGAAGTGTATTGTGGGTAGTGTAGTTTGGCACGCATGCTGGATGATGTGAGCTCGCTATGTGCTGTGCAGCTCAAGCACATACACTAGATGTCGCCTGGCCTATTGTTGTCTATTGGACGGAATGCGTCAATAGCGCCGCCATCTTGCTACAGGGTAGCGCTCCTTTGAAATGAATGCGGGACCAATGTACAGTGGAGGACTGTGACCATCCAAAGCCAGAGATATACACATATACACATATATCTATGATCGGGAGTTTTCCTGGATGTTAGTATGTATTTTTTTTTTCTAATTACGAAAATTATAATTTTACATCACTTTTCTACATTGATGGATCAGTGACCGCACGGGCATTCTTGACAAAAAGCTTGTGTTTGTGTGTACAGAAATGTACTATTCACCCTCCCTGTTAAATTTGATCTAATCATGTCCTGAAACACACCTCCTCTCCTGCTTTCACTTTTCACTTTCACTTTCACTACTGACGGAGGGAGCGATTCGTTTGTGAATGAATCCCCCGAACGACTCTTTCACTAACGTCAGCCGAAATTAATACAAGTTTCTGGCAGCGCAGCATCTCGTTGTCATATTTCTTTTGCATTGTTTGCTGATTTTATTCAACAAAACTGGCATAAGCCGAGTGTTTAGTGCGAGTTGGAGCTTCTTTGTCTTATGGTTAATGCAGTAAGTGACTGTTATCATCAATAACGTTACCTGATTAGCACAAAAGTTCAGAACATACAAAAACAGAAAAAAACGTAATATTACCTATGAAATGTTCTGCCTTTGTGCTTTGATTTCTTTGTTTGCTCGTTTCTACACCCGTAGACAGAGCTAAAGTCCCGCATCTTCACATAATAACACTGTCTTGACTAGTGCGGTTGAATGACATTTGTCCTGGGAGCACTGTACCAATGTGGCGGCGCTATTGATGCATGCTTAGGGTCCCTATGCGATATTTAGTGTATATATCTATGGCTTAAGCATAGCAAGAAAGTTTTAATCGGCTTTGTTTTATGTTCACTCGAGTTATTCCTACCGGGAGCTGTTTGCACTTTGAACCTGACAACATGAAAATAAGTAAAAGAATGACATGCATTAATTACTTTTGTCCGTCTCATCCTCTGCACGAGCATGAATTAACGATCTGTTATTCTGCTGCTGGACATCACTGAAGCGGAGAAAGTAACACTAGTTTGATCATGTATAAATATCATTATAACTATATTGTATAAATGTTACTACAACTAGGCCTACAGCAACCTGACGATCAAAAAACAAATAACATAATATAACAGGCGATTGTCTTCAGACTGTAGTAGACACTCATAGAGCGTGAGAAGCATACAGTACTGTTTGATCTATAAAATTTGTAAAATAAAGATTAGCAGGTTAAAGAAAAAGAGGGATCTTCCGTGGGCCTTGGTGCAGATAAAAAGTTTGAAAAGTGTATTTGTATAGAGACACATGGGTAACTAGATAGAATAGATAGAGATAGGTTGATCTCTGCAGCAGCTGCCGAAGAGCTGCGCGCTGCAGACGCAGCTGGTGTGAAAGGCAAACAAACGCCTGCGTGCTGCCTCTGCTCGACTGACATAGGTAATGCTCTGCTCACGCGCCGCAGCTGGTGTGAAAGGCAAACAAACGCCTGCGTGCTGCCTCTGCTCGACATACATAGGTAACGCTCAGCTCACGCGCAGCTGACGCTTGCGGTGTGAAACAGGCGTTAGTTTCAATTTGAAATGTATTTTTTGCATTTACATGATTTAACTAGCATGTTTGGAGCACTAAAAAGTCACTTAAAATCTAAGCACACTTAAAATCCAAGACTTCCAATGGAATCTAAACAAAAGTGGTCAGAAGACATGTTTTTTTATTATTATTATTGTTATTTTATTTTACATATGAGAAAACCATGTTAAACCATGGAAAAAGTAATGCATCTCAGGTGACAACTTGCAATCGAATCAATGAAAAAACAAGTTTATATCAGGAGTAATTTTGTGCAATTTACAGTGTAAAAGAAAAATAAATGTAGCATAGTTATTTGTTTCACATTTCCTGCAGTAACTCCAATCAAGTAGCAAAAACTACATATCTCCAACATTTCCTTTGGAAAATCATGCATCATAAAACAAATGTCCACATAGCAAGTCATCAACATTACCGTATTCTTGAGCCGCATCATCTTCACTGGCAACTCTTCTTGTATCAAGAATGAGTTTGATATTCACAATCACTGTGATCAGTAGAAACAGCACAGCACTAGCCTGCAAACACACAAACAGATGTTTACCTAACCACCTAAACAGGGCCATTTAATACTTTTACTGTTTTTCTATCCTGCTGATTAAACAATATAAATTAAACATAAAACATGCAATATTCAATCACAGTATGTTTACACTTTATATATTATTTGCTTTTTTATTTTATAAAAATTATATTCTTAAAAGATGATTGTCGAATTTAGCTCATTCTGTGCCGATTTTAATATAACATATCTCCACAATATATTAAAGTTATAAAGTGAAAATAAATATAAATAAAAGTACAGAAATGCACATTACGGACATAAACAAAATTCTATATAGTAAATTTTTTCTTTCCTAAAGAAATTTTAGCAAAATAATAGTGCTCTAAAAAGCTGTGAATTTTAATGTATGAAAATTGAGTTTGTTCTAGTTTTTTTTTTATGTTAAAACAAATGCCACTACACCAAAAAAACACCTCACTTTAATTCGCCGAATTCCTTTTTTTTATCAGCGGTCACCACAGTGAAACAATTTACTTATTTACTTTAAAAAAATATATATTTTTACACTCTGAATCACAGATTTTTTAAAATATATTTGCACATTCTAACTTTCTCTTAAATAATATAATTTTTAAAAAGTATTATTGGCCAATTCTAAATTAGGAAATCATATTAGCAGCCAATGATTATCAAAGTACAACAATGTTTACAATAAATTAGCTAATGATTTTTTAAAGTCATTTTAACTTGAGATTCCAGACCATATTCCATATTCAAAGTAGCGTGGTAAACAATATATCCTCCCGAGACCCAAATATTTTTTTTTCTTTTTTTCATCCTTTCGGTTAAAAAAAATAATAAAAATTCTACAATTTAGAGTTTTTACATTTTGTTTTTATTTTTAATTTTACAGCATGTCCACTGTAGTGGACCACAGGACCATTTTAGTTCAAAACGACCGCAACTCAGACAACAAAACTGTACAGGATATGGCTGTAAAGGGATAATAATCCAATATTCATGTAACAAAAGCCATTTTTTCATTTTGTATTGAAATTCCTGAAACAGTTTAGTCTGAAAGAGGCATGTTATTCCAAAACATATTTAACATAAAAGTGATTTAAAACTGCAATTGTCATTCTCTAATTGCCTCTAATACTTTTAAATCAGTGTCTCCCTCAACTATTCTATAAAGAATCCTCTCTGCTTCAATTCTGCCCCCTACAACATGTAGACATTAATTACATTAAGATGGTCCTGGTGTCCACTATAGTGGACATTTAAAAAAGGATATTTTAAAACACAAGTTAACAGCTTTGAAAGCTAAATGTATTGTTCCTGACACTTTAATAAACAAATATATATGTGATAATAATAGTAAAAAAAACATTTAAAAAGCTACATTTTACGTACCTCTCTCCTTTCCATAAAATGTGCTTGTTTATTAGGGGTGTCAAAATTAATTGTTTCTTCGGTGCACCGCGATGCAGACGCGGACAATTCGGTATCGATTCAGTAATAACCATAACCGGTTATTATGTAGTGACATCATTTATCTCCTATGCGCTCTGTCGCGAGGGAGGTGAGCGCCGTTATTTATTTACAACACTCAGCCAACTCAGGGCCGGCCCGTGGCGTAGGCAGCATAGGCAAATGCTTAGGGCGCTGTATATCCAGTGGGGCGCCAGAAATGAGCGCGCTTCAGTTGGTTTTGTTTTCGATTTTTCTGACACACTTTCAGTTATAGACGGCAATAACTCAAAAAACGCTTACCCTAAAAATATCTAAAGTGTGTTTCCTACAGAAAGACAAAGCTGGTTATGTTTCACAGCTGTCTTTCTTTTTTTCACTCGACATTACGAGCACTGCTCCGTTTTTGTGTGTGTGTGTGTTTGTTTGATGCTGTCTATGTTTGTGAATGCGTTTGAATGAGAGACAGTGTGTTGCTGTGTGTCTGTGTGTTTATACAGACAGCATGTTATAGCCTCCCCCCAAATATATAACACTGTATATGGAAAGCATCGTCAATGCACCGTGATGCACCGAAATATCGAATTGAACCGAATCGATGGCATGATAATTGTAACCGAACCAAACCGTGAGACCAGTATAGGTTCACACCTCTATTGTTTATATGTCGGCCATTGTTGGTGCAGTGTAAAAAGTGGTTCCTAACATGCCAGGCAATCAAATGACATATCACTAGAAAGCCCAGGAAGTCCTCTGAACAGTATAACAGAACTTGACAGAGTAGCTCAAAAAATTCTAAGAAAACTAATGAAAACGCAATGTCCACTAAAGAGGACACAAGTCAATGGGCGGGGTCTCAGAAGGATAGGGACTGTGTCACAAGTTGTCACTGTTTAAAAATGAACGAATGTGCCAATATAAAACCAACTTTACCTCAGTGATTTTTTAGTATGGACTGACCAAATGATAAATTACCAAACTTTTCATTTTGCAAAATAACTATAAACACTGTTAGCCATTGTGACACAGATCAACAGTTTGTAATTTGTAATTAATAACACTTATATACATATAAAATATTCTATTGGCAAATGTCCTGATGTTCAACTTAATTCATGTACTTTTGGGGATTTCAAAAAAAAAAGTTGTTAGACGAAGGCTTTATGAGGATAGAAAACAAAAGCCTCAATGTATTTGTTCAGGGATGGGTATAATCGTGCTTTTACCTGGCAGATTCTTCGCACTGCTCTTTTGTTGGTAAGTCTGTATTTCCAAGTAAGGTAGAGGCTGCGCTGCTGGCGGGGGATGAAGGGCTTGGCTCTCGGGTTTGGTGTCCAGGTGTCCATACCTGCAGTCCTGCCCGCTGCTCCTGATCACAACACCTGCCTGCATCCGCCTTTGATCACGTCTTCTTCATCTGAAAAATATAAATCATTATCACGATTACAAATAAAAGGCATAAACACTGCTCAAATCTTCTGACAGTAATGGAAGAGTCACAACTTTAATGTAGGTTATCTAAAATGCTCAACAACCAGGTCCAAAAGACATGCTTAAACTGCAGCGTAGCACCGTAGTAACATGATATTAATATGCCATTATTAACAGTGACTCCTGAAAGCAGATGGTGAGGTAACGTAAGCTCTATTCAGCACAACAGCTGAAATTCTTTCAGAAAGCAATTTCTGTTGACACCGATAATGCATTGACTATATCACTGCACATAATGAATGAGACATTTTACCTCAGAACTGTTTTGTTTCGCACGGAAACGACGTCCCGCCACGCCAGAAAATACGACTGTAATTTAGTTTATGTCGGGTTTACTAACGTTTGGCCATATGCAGGTAACGAGTGTTGTGAAGCCAGATTCAGGACGCCACTTGCATGCTTTTCAAAATAAAGGTCCCACATTTTTCTTAAAAGTCACTATTTCTTGTGTGTTATAAACAAATGCAACATTGTCAAAAACGAAGTTATAAATATAGAACCAAATCATGCTTAAAATTACTATACAATTATATTTACAATATAATATATATATATATATATATATATATATATATATATATATATATATATATATATATATATATGACAATTAGTTAAGTGATATTTGGCTTAAATAGCTCTAAAGAGCTCACATTAAAAAAGGCGCCTATGCTTATGTTTTTAAGATTAAAATGTAAAACAGAGATTTTTATATAAATACCATTAAGAAGAGTACAAAAAAACCTGTACAAACGGTGCATTTCTTTACATGTTTAAGTATTGTGAGCTAGTAAGGCCTTATTTGTAATATATATTTTTAATTTGATATTATTTTGTTTTACTATATTGAGTAGTTGTACATGTAAAAAATGTAAAAGCACATATGCACTTTTTAATAATAAAACATAAAAACTAAACTTGATATCAGATAAAAAATGCTGAACAAATCGTTTTTTTTTTAAACCCGTCACAAGGGTTGTTTTAAAGTAGTTTTTTGTCATCATTGCTTATTAATACAATTTTGGAAAACAAAACAAAATCAATTTGCGCTAATTTTCTGTCTTGTATTTTGTAGTAGCTAACAAAAACAAATAAAATCTAAAACAATTGATCGATATGTAAACATTTAGCTAAAATATGCTTTAAAATGCTACAGTAAATAGTAATTAGTTATTTTCAGACTTAGTGAACATTGGTAATTGTTAATGTTGACTGAAAATAGAAATTCAAGACTTTAATATAAAAATTTTAAAGTTGGAGTCAAATTTGGACTAACTGAAAATTAACAGTTCAAGTAATATTTTGAAGAAAGAAAATAGTGGAACTACTGTACATATAGTTTGTTTATACATATATATATCAACTGCTGTATTATTATTATTATTATTATTATTATTATTATTATTATTATTATTATTATTATTATTATTATTATTATCCTCATTACTATACACTTATCCACATTTTACTGGTAAAGGAAAAAATGGTTATTTCCCAGTTTACAAACAGCGTGTGAACATATTTATCAGATCATCTCTTGCAAGAGGAAAAGGCGGGGTGAATAAATGACTTTAAGTGGTTTGTTGATTGTTGCACTGTCATTATGTCTCTAGCCTACTATTTCTCCCTAAAAAGACCAGTGCTAAAAGAAAACATGAGATTTCTGACAGCTGTGTGTTACTTTGGTGAGTTTTGTTTATTTATTTGCTTGCTTGCTTACTTTTGTAACATTAAACAATTGTCTGTTCAATAAAATAAAAACCTAACAAATGCTTATTCTATTTTTTAAGCCTGGATTAAGCCTAATGGACAAACTCAATAATATCAGCCCTTTTTTATGCTATAACTCAGGGTATCATAGTTCCTGAAGGCTGCAGCTCTGCATAGTTTAGTTCACTGCTTCGACACACTTATGCTGAGTTTAGATTGCTGGATTTTCAACGTCGTGTCACAGATGTTTTCACACTGCATGGTTGTCTGGGATAGCATTTTGTCCCTGATTTGTTTACACTGCAAGACTAGGTTTAAATGAACCGAAATTCAGCACTTTTAACCTTTCCCCCAATCTCCCACTGGCCTGCAGATACCCATACTAGTGAATGCTGCTCTCTCATTGGCTGTATTGCCATCATGGCATGATTTGAATCGCAGATCCTGATATTTAGCATGCCAAATATCTCATGGGTGCCGGCGACTCATCGCCTATTTTCTCAGATACATAATGTGTAATTGTTACTCATGTGAATGAGCATCGATTTGACTGTGATTTTAGGCGATTTCACAACACCTGTCGGTGAGTCAAAATCAGGGCTTAAATCATGCAGTCTGAACTTGAATTTACCAATAGCTTTCAAACAAGCCCGTAGAACTATAAATTAGTTTGATCAGGTGTATTTAATTAGGCTTAAAGCTGAACTGTGCAAAGCTGCGGCTCTCCAGGAACTGAGTTTAACACCTGTGCTATAACTGATGTGTGGATGGCTTTAAATTGATCAAAATATATCAGACAATAAATAATGGTTGCTGATAATTCTGTGCAGCCTGAACACTTACAGGAATGGATTTCATTTAAGTCTAATCATAATTATAAATATTTTTTATGAAAATTATGATTCATTTTTTGTAGATTAACTTTTTTATGTAGAAATAAACTTACATTTTGGGGGAAAACGTAATTAAATTTCACTTTTCTTTTATGCTGATCTTTTTTATTTGCATTTTTATTTCTCACAGTTGAAAACCTTCTCGCAGCTTTTTTTTTTGAAATTCAGAATTTTTCTTCAAAATTGTGATGCTATATTTGTCATATTTCAGGTTTATAGTCTGATTAACTAATTGAGTTAAAACATATTCTGTTTATAATATAATCTGTTCAAAAACTAACAGTTTTGAAATAAAGTTGTGATATAATCTTGCAATTGTGAGATCAAAATGTTTTATTAAATAGATGATTTTAATTATTTTAAAAATGTATTTTCAATCATTCATTTTACTTCGGCTTACTACCTAAATTATCAGGGGTCACCACAGCGACATGAACCGCCTACTTAATTGTTTCAAACAATTAGGATTGTCTTTCTTCTGTTAAACACAAAAGTAGATATTTCAACGAAAGTTGAAAACCTGTAACCATTGACTTCCATAGTATCTGTTTTCCTACTATGGATGATGGATGCCAATGGTTACAGGTTTTCTGCTTTTTTCAAAATATTGTCTTTTGTGTTGAACAGAAGAAAGAAACTCACAAAGGTTTGGAACAAGAGAGAGTAGTGATTAAATTTTCATTTTAATCCCTCTAACTTATATCTTTCCAGTTCTGCTTTCCACCTGGCTGAAACATGGAGCATTAAACGAAATCAGGGAATCTAAATCAAAAAAAGATGCTTCTCTAGAGGTCCGGCCAGACAGCAGACAACATCTCAGAGGGAAAGAGTTCACCCTTCACTGCTCAGTAAATGGTGGGAATTCAACTGGCTGGATACTGAGGAGGCTTCAAGGAGATCAAAAGGACTCTGGATGTTTGTACTTGAATGGTACAAAATCTACAGACAAGCCTGAAGAATGTCATTTTAGTGACATTGACAGTAAGAACAATGGACTGTACTGGTGTGAGAGTCTGTCTGACAACAAGACAAGCAACACTGTCAACATCACCGTGACCCGGAAGGACATCAGTTCCAGTAATAAAGATTCAAATTACAATCCTTACTAATTGATTAAAAGATTTGTACAAAATGGAATAACTGTCCATTTTTATGTTAAAATGTTATGATTGATCAACAGCAATTTTATTAAGCAACATCCTAATATGTTATTTTGTGTTTGGTTATAATTACAGTTGAAGAGTTTAGATGTAAGAACTTCTAAATGTTGTCTGAAAATTTTCTCTAAAATGAGCATTTTTTTTCAGGCTTCTTTATGGTCAGTATATCACTTTTATGGCAAACAAAAAGTTTTTTTTCCTGGTCTTTAAAGTGAAATATCTCAACATAAACGAAGGAGGCTAGAATTTTATTTAATTTTTTTTCAATGGAAATTTTGGACGCCACTTAGAGTTTTTTTTTTACATCTGAACTCTTCAGTTCTTATTAGCAATGCTTAACATTGTTTGATATATAACTGTTATTATAATTTTTGAGATATGTGTTGTTTTTCTTTCAGGATTTTTACATATATATTATAAAGTTCACATTAACAATCTTTTTTTGTTCCACAAAAAAAAAAAAAAAAAAAAAAAACAGAAAGTGAAGTGACCCTTCTGAGCACAGTTAACCCAATGACAAAAGGTAAGCCAAAAAAAAAAAGGGATGTTGGCAGTCTGCGTGTGTTTTGTAGACACTTTTATATAAGGTGTTGTGCATTATTTCATCTGTTCAGTCATTTTGTGTCTGTAGATAACTCCACGTCTGATTCGGAAGAAGAAAATCAATCAGGTATGAGGTCCCGGTATAATGACTGGGATTGATTTTTGCTTTCTGTGCGGAATCCATCTTTATTAATTGTGTTCTGCAGGATTGTTTGCCTGGGTGTCGGGGCTTTGTATGTTATTGGTTCCTCTGGTGACTGTTCCTGTGCTCTGGATATTCTTTCCAAGTTTCAGGTATACACTTTTTAAATAATTAGTTTAACTTTGGACAAAAGGCTTTTTTTAAGGCAAGAAGCTTCAGGTGAAAAAGGTTTTGATTATTATTATTATTATTATTATAATAATAATAATTACTGTTGTTATTATTATTGTTGTTGTTATTGTTATTTAAGAACTTTCTATATTGCTTTTTAAACATTCAAACACAATGACTTACACATTTTGACCAACAAGCATTTTAAAGATAGAGTATACAATCAATTCATAAGAAAGTAAAATAATAACAGATAAATACATGAAGTCAATAATAATAGAAAAAAAATATACAACATATCAAATCATGGAATTTAAGTTTCAATCTAAATTAGTTTAATCCTCTTCGATTTCCTATAAAATTTATTTTTAAAATAATCAATGAAAGGTTGCCAGATTTTATAGAATATTTTTTTTCTTTTTTAGGGATATTTTAATTTTCTCCAATTCCAAATGCTTCATTACATCCCTCATTAGATGTATGGTATATAAGTTAGAGCATCTTTCTGTTTCCAGTTTTAAAAATAATAACATTGGTGCAAGTAGACTGACAAATGAAACTATATTTTGTATTGTACTGTTTTAGCTATACATTTACTTATTATTATGTAAAACAATTATTATTATTATTATTATCATTATTCAAATGAGATGTTATTTCATTAAATTGATCTTAATTTTCAGAAATCGCTACTGCAAAAATCTAAACATGTTATTTATTTATTTATTTGAAATATTAAGATTTTTGCAGAAGGGATTTTGCTAACCTCCCTTTTATCGCTTTACAATTCAGTTATTTAATAATAAATTATAATTTTTTAAAATGTTATAATTGGATTAAAATGCTTTAAGTTTGTTTTGATACAGATTTATTGGTTCAATTGGCCCATTGAAATGATGGGCTTAAACTCATTTTGAGAAAACAAAATCAACAGATTCAAATAGATAAAGTCCAACAAAAACAACACAGTGTATAATGAAGCTTTTCTTTACATCAGACCTAACAACACTTTATGAAAAGACAAAACCCCCCAAATCTCAAAACTGACAGGTGAATAAAAATTATTATTACAATTATTAAATAAAATTGAAATTAATAGGTGAATTAAAATTATTATTATTATTTTTAATTACTACAGCAATGAGGTTAATAGTTCATAATACAAACATTGCAATATCAAAAATCTGAAGTGTTTCTTCATGCTTTTCAGAGAGAAATTGTATGCATGCACAAATGGGGCATATAGAAGGGAAAGGGTCCAACAGGAAATGCCAAAAACCAAGCAGGACGCGACTGAAATCCAATGGGACCTTCCCTGGATGGAGATGGACAATTTGTTGAGCAAGCAACAAAATGCTGGCCGCTGAATCTTTCCTCAAAATAAAATGGACATTGATGGATACACACTTCAGAAGACTTCAAAAAAGCTTCAAAAAAGCTACTCTGCTTTACATCAGAAATAAAGCAGATGAATAAAGATAGTGATGTTTTCACTCTGAACAATGTGTTATCATTAGCTTTAGATCAATGATTAGTGGTCTTAACAGAATCATTTTCCATCTTAAAGTGCAAAATGGCATTATAGATTTGTTTTTTGTTTTTTGATTTGTTAACAAATGCAAAACTGCAGATGATCTTCTGCAAACTATTCCAGGAAAGCAATGAACATACTGTTGCATTATTATAATTAGTTTATTTTATACAGTAGATTTAGCAAGTATTTATTCATTAAAATAAATGACAACAGAAATTAAACACATTTGGTAATATCAATATCATGTAATAAGATTTAAATATATTACATTTTGCAAAGGAATAAACTGTATATGCTAACATTGTGTTCAATCATTGTGACGACATTTTAACATGTTCATCAGTGTCCTTTCAAAATACAGTTTAGCACACTTGATTTTACCCATCACTATTTGAAATTGTATCATGACTAAATGTATTAAAATTTTTCTAATCTTTTCCTCTTACAAAGTCAATCTAACTGAATAAAAAATAATTGATCTTTCAGATTTAAAGAAAGATTGAACTAAAAACAAATGAAAGTTTGTTCTTAAACAGGACCTATTATGTAAAAATCACTTTTATAAGATGGTTAAACACGGTTGTGTGGGAAAAGTCGGGAAATATAGCCAGCCTCTAACAGAAAAAAAGAATTATTAATTCATTATTCATAATCACGCTTGATAAAAATAGTCTGCAGAAACACTTTGATTGACATTTTCCTTTTGTATGTGTCATCAGAGATAGGAAAGCCCCGCCTATTAGTGATGATCTCTCCCTCATACATCAGTTATGTTTTCGAGTCTGCCACTATGCTGACACACAGGCATTTGTAGCTCTGCCCTCTTTTGAAAAGAGGGCTGGGAGCACAATCTCATTTAAATTTAAAGCGTCAGTCACCAAAGCGGAAACAATTTGGATTAAAACCTTAAAGGGGCAGCTTCAGAGAGTTATAAAAAAAATAATTGTGTTGTATTTTGAGCTGAATCGTCACAGGGACATTGACTTACTTTACATCTTGTCTCAAAGTCTCATAATAGGTCCCCTTGAAAATGATATTTGGCCAAACTTAAAGATGAAAGTTATATAAAACTCATATACTATATTCCAATGTTTTTTTTCCATATGGGACACTAAAATATTCTTTTCATGTCAATAGATCACAAGAAGAACAACTTCTAATCTGACGCAGTGCATTATGAAGCACCTAATACTGTATGGCATAGTACAGTATGTAGTAAGATTAGTATCCTCCCAGCATGGGCAGCTATTTAGAAAAATTCATTCACACTCCCCCACCTCTAACCTTCTGTCCTCTCACTCAGACAGGCCTTCTGGAGATCTGGCAGAGCAGCAGGAGTGAGCAGTTTCCCCTTCACTGCACTGTAAATGATGCTAACACCATAGGCTAGATGCTGCCGAGGCTCCATCTACATAGATTGTTTAACAACCAACAACAGGATATTTATACATTTGCATAACCAAGATTAATAAACTGGTCAAAGATAAATTATTAAATTAAATGTATAAAAATTATTTTATGCATACAAGCCAAAATTATAAGACACACATATTTCCCAAGTGATGTTTATTGGACCAAGGACATTTTCACAGTATTTTCTATAATGTTTTATCTTTTGGAGATCGAAAGTCTTAATTCTTTTAGTTTGGCTGGATTAAAAGCTGATTTTATTTGATGTTTACCTATTTAAGGAGAATATTATCAACCCCTTAGGATTTTTTATTATCTACAGATCAAACCACTGTTGTCCAAAAACTTTCCTAATTATCCTAACTTGCCCAGTTGACATAAGCTGAATATTATATTGCAAAATAGCTAGAAAAATATAATATACTGTCACCATGGCAAAAAATAAAAAAATAAAAAAATAAAATAATAATAATTTTAAGATATTAGTTATTAAAAAAAAAAAAAAACATAAAAAATTCAAATAAAATTGGAAAATGTTTTTAAAAATAATTCAAATGTCCCAGGAGGGCTGATAATTTTGATTTCAACTGTACATAGCATATTAAATGCAAGCATACTATATGCAAGTGCCTTATTTTAAAAAACGCTTTTGCGAAAATATTTTTTAAATTCTTATTCATCATAGTTTAAATGACGTTTTTGTCATTTTTACATTTTACAAAACACGTTTTTGTGTTTACATCCTCCACATTTCTTTTTATTTCATAATCTACCATACTGTAGATGAAGTAGTATGTTGTAATGTTGTAATAATGATGCAAATCTATAACTTAAACGTAAATTAGATTATCTTAATACTTTGGACTTTGGGGGAAACCTCAGCACCAGGAGGAAACCCACGGGGGAGAACTTGCAAACTCCACACAGAAGTGCCAACTGACCCAGCCGAGGCTCAAACCAGCAACCTTCTTGCTGTGAGGTGAAAGTGCTAACCTGAACCACCATGCCACCCCATTTATTATTATTATTATTATTATTATTATTTTACCTTAGTTCGCTAGAGTATTTTTTACATTTATTATTATTTATTTAAATTTTTTTAGACAAGATGATATTATAGTTTGTATCTGTACAGTGCATGTTCTCAGGCATGTTTACAAGTTCACAGCATCACTGACTGTAACGCCGGGAAGTGACACATACAACTGAGGTAAGATCCAATATGCAGGTTTATTTGTCGTCAGGCAAGCAATGGTCAATACAGGTACAAACGGGTATGTGTAGGCAGTCCTGAATTGTAATCAGTAACAGGCGAGAGTTCAAAAGGCAGGCGGCAGACAAAGATGCTAACAAGGTTACGGTCGGTACACAGGATAACAAGACTGGGCAACGCGTTGTAGTGCTACTGACAGTAAACAAGACTTGGCAAAGTGAATAGGTGAGTGTGCGGCTTAAGTATGTGCAATCAGTCTCTGACAATCCTCAGGTGGTGCGGGTAATCAGTCTAGAGGAGAAAGCATGTGTGAGTGTGACCGGAGTGCATGTATAAATATGTAGTCCAGAAATGGCGGATTTGTAGTCCATGGTTATTGTTAGTGCAAACCAGCGATCTTATGGGATATGATCGCTGGTAATCGTGACAGACACTGTTCTCCAGAGCAGCTGCAGAACAAGGTCAAATTGTCCAAGAAAAAAGGCTGTCTTGTGTAAAGCTGATTCCTTTAAGCCAACCAGCCTGTTTTGTCTAGTCTGACACAAGCTGTACTGAACCTGCTCTGGACAGTGATGGACCTGACATACGCGTACATTACTGTGTTATATACTGTACTTCTGTAAGGTGGATAGTTTACTAGTTGAGGAAAAAGTGACATGGGACACAGATTTGGAGCAAGTAAATTGGCCATAAATAAAAAAATGAATGAAAGAATGAATGAATAAATGGTTGAATGAATGAATGAATGAATAAACAAACAAACAAACAAACAAACAAACAATGAATTAATGAATTAATGAATTAATTAATTAATTAATTAATTAATTCATGAACAACTGATTTCCCAGGACTGGGTTGCAGCTGGAAGGGCATCCGCTGTGTAAAACATATGCTGGATAAGTTGGTGATTCATTCCGCTGTGGCGACCGAGGATTAATAAAGGGACTAAGCCGAAAAGAAAATGAAGGAGTGAATGAATGAATGAATGAATGAATGAACATTTGAACAATTGAATGAATGAATTATATTAAAGAGGCAATGCATAAATTATAGCCAATAAAACTAGCAAAGTTAAAATTAAATTAAAAGTCAGAAATATAAATAAATAGACAGATAGAAAGACAGACAGACAGATAGATGTGTGTGGCTACTTAGATGATCTACATTTATTTTGTTTTAACTTTTTGCTTTGTGGTGTTTTTTTTTTTAATTTTTATTTGTCTTTATTTGTCTCTGAACAGTTAAATAGCTTTTTCTGATTTTTCAGCAGTGACAGATTTTGAGATCCATCTTTTCACAACTTTTTACAATTAAGTGGCTCTAAAAGAGTCATTGAAAAAAGGACAATTCAAATGCTCACTGATTCTTCAAAAGGGAAGAAAAAAAACTTAAGCAGGGGAAAGATGATTTTGATGAAATGTCAATAAAGAAAGAAAGAAAGAAATATATTTTTATAGTACGAGTTAAAGGCTTAAACTGGATATAATTAAACATTCTAACACCTAAAATTTCACACCTCAGCTTTAAGATTTCTGTTCCAAAGATGCCAATATTATTCAGACTACCACTAGAGGGCAGCGTGTGCCTGCATTATCCTAAAGTGTTCTCTAAATTCCAATTCAATAATCAAGTAAAATAAAATTTCTACAATAAATAATGATAATAGTAATCATAAAAACATCTTTAATTATCCTCTTGGGGATAAAAATATATATTATCCTTACCCTGAGTTTAAGAGTTGACATTTGCTGCTAAAAATACAAATGGTTACAATTAAATTAAGCAGGTAATCAAAATCCTGAGTTAGATTTGTTCATTCGCTTAGTCACTCATTCTGTGCTGCAACTATTTATAAGTTTTGTAATGTTTAATGTGCTTCACAATAAAATTAATAGCTCTATTTTAATGAGTGTACAGTAAAAAACACTGGATCTCAGATTAATTCATCTTACATCTCTCTCTCAAACAAAACTATCAATTTGAAGCTCACAGAATGGCTATTGAAGAGGAAAAGAGATAGAGATTTTGTCATTTTTTATGGCCTTGGTTTAATCCAGGATTATAAAATGTAAATTGTATGAACTTAGAGAATAAACTTGAATTTAAATTTAAATGGTGTGTGAAAAAGCTTTATGTATGCTATGTGAAGAGCACACGCTATTATTCGATCGTTGATGTCTGGTGAATGTATAGTTTTTTGACATTTTGTAATTTTTGATATTTTAATATTATTGAAGAGTCAAGTCTTAGTTTTAAAGTCTCTCTCTCTCTCTCTCTCTCTCTCTCTCTCTCTCTCTCTCAGTGTTTGTGTTTCTGCAGGCCAACAGTGGATCAGCAGTCACTCTGACCGCTGCTCTGCCCTCCTGCTACTGACTGACAGTTTGAAAGGGGCACCTTGGAGACGCAGGTCAAAGGTCAAAACTCTGCCACATTCACACTGTGGCTAAAAGCAAACTGTGTTTACAAAAGCATTTAAACTGTGGGGGTCAAACATTTCTATTTAGAATGATTGTGGTGTGCCAGATTTAAAACTGTTACCATTATAGTTGTAAAAACAGTTTATTACTTTAAAAAACAAATGTCAACTGAAATTAAAGAACAAAAAGTCAAGCTTATTTTATTTTAACTACAGTTGCCAAAGACACATTTCCCATTGTATTTTGGTTGAAT